CTCAGATTCAATTCTCAGCACTGTGTAGTTCCCGGAACACAGTCCTGTCTGGCACCTCTTAACCCCTCCTTTATTTATTTTTAAGTCTCTGGCTCCAAGTATGTGGCTTGGTAGTAGAGTGCATGCTTTATGTGTGAGGCCCTGGGTTTGATCTCTGGTATGGGTAGGGGTAACATGTATAATTGATTTTATCAGTTCAGTTATTAGTTTCCTTTTTTCATTCTTATGTAAATCTGGCATTATTTAATTTGGAAGAAATTTCCAATTTTACTTTAAAAATACAACAAATGTTGAAATGGTCAGATCTCCTAAGATTTATCAATATCTGTTTTTTTAATCTCTTGATTTGTTGTTGTCACATAGTTGACACCTGTAAATATTTCTGAAAGATGTAGCTGAAGATAAACAAGAAAAAACTGCTTTTAAACTTGGAGCAATAATTCCAACATTGATCTTTCAGTATAGGAAAGGCTCTTAGAGTAATCTTATATCTAGACTTCTTCCCTTAAGAGATGTCATTGTTTACATGATAACTAGGCTTCCAAGGTTTACTTATTTATGATAGCACACATTTTTAATCATTTATTTTCTCCAAAATTGATATAAAATATTTTTTATATTTGATATTTTTAAGTTAAAGTAACATTGTATTTACATACTGTGTATGTAGAAGAACCAGTTTATACTTCATTTCAAATGTGTTACGGCAGTATAACCACCACCACAATGATAATAACCCTCCATCACAGCATGTTGAACCACTTATATCCTTTGCACACCCATAAATGCAGTTTTGTACTTACAGTCCAATGGTTTTGTTTTGCCTCTACCTTTCTTTAGCGATATTTTACATTTTTCCTCTGACTTTGTTTACCCTGATCCTCTCTGTAATGCCATCCATGTTCTAATGGCAAGATCTTTTTTCCTATAGCTGACTTGTATTTCATTCTTTAAAGAAGCAGATGCTTTGTATTTTTTTGTTCAGTCAAATCAGTAAATTTTACCTTATCCTACCACTAAGACTCACATTCTGAGGGTAATGATTGGCCCAAATTTAGTTTTCTTAGCTATACTTTGATGTTGTATTGTAAACTTAAAATAATTTTTAAAAATTAATAATTACTAGGTAATGTGCTCCATTCTAATAAGTGGTATATGGGGGTGGGGGGAGAATGAATGAGAGACAATTTTGTCATAGACTTAGAATATTTTAAAAGTGTGGTTCTGCTTAAGTAGTTCATGCTTTTAACCTTCCTCATTTGTGTCAAATTTCTCTAGGAGCGTCTTCTTTTATATTGATAGGTATTTGTAATCCCCTTGAATCAATATGATTTTCTGACTGTAACTTTAGTCTTCATTCTAGTGCCTTTAGCATCTCTCATTTCCAGAATTGTCTAGTTCTTAAAAATATTTCTGAGCATTTGATTTTAGAATTTTTAAAACTAGGTAAGTTAGTAATAATTCTTTAAGCTACTCTGTCATTTCACAGAGAAATTGGATCGTATGCACATTGCAAGAGGGTCTTTAGTTCTCAGGCCTCATTTCTCGGTCTCCTTTGGTTTCTCATCTGTCCCCCCGCACACAAATTAAAGAAGTTGTGGATAGGGTTTAGGCCTTGTTACAGGTACTCGATTCTTTAAGGATGACAGCTCTTTTGTCATACCTCTCAACCAATTGTATCTTTTTTTGAGTCAAATCTAAGTTGACAAGATTGTATTACTACATTTCCTGGAAAATTTTCTTCAGTTGATCTGAGAGCTTTTCTACAAGTCATTTAATCTCTTTCATCTTTCTTGTTTAAAAGTGAATTATCTAAAGTGAATTCTTTAACATCTCTATTATATTTTCTTGTTAACTCTTGGAGTTCTTACAATTATTAATAAACTTTTCTCAGTTTATTGTGAATTCATGTGTATGAGTTTTATTTGTTCTTTATGTATGTCCTAAATAATGGCATACTGAATTTCACTAGATAAATTGATCATCTAAAAATAACTTATTTAAAAATTTGTCACTACCATTTATTTGTTTTGTAATTTAGTACAGCACGCAATGGTTACTATCGTACTATCTATTCTGATATTAAAATTTGTTAACTTACAAGTAAAACATGTGATTTCTATCATATACCTATTGATTTAATATTGAGAAGATATTCCTTTGGTTTTTGAAGATGTCAGTACTTTGTAGTTACACATGAACATTCAATAGTGTCTTTGCTATTAAATTTAATCTTTGAGAGTATTTAGGCATAAATACTTCCACCCCAGTTTAAGAAGATTAAATCCGGTAGGAATTGGCTTATAGTTTAACTTATGAAAAGTTGGAGAATATTTAATGTAGTGAAAGTAAATATTTTGCAATATATATCAGTTGGAAAGCCAAGTATCGTTTATATAGATATTTATTACTTGAGGAACTATTTCAAAAGAAAAACAGAATTTTAGGTGGTCAGAGAGAAGGGACAGGGATTAAGTCATTTACTTGCCTTGTACATGGCAGACTTCCTTTCAGTCCACAGTACTGCATCTTATCCCCTGGAACTTCAGGAGTGATCCCTGAGCATAGAGCCAGGAGTGATCGAGCCTTGAGCACAGCCAAATGTGGTCCACAACAAAAAAATTTAGGACAATTGTGAGCATCATTTCCAGTTAGTGAGTAAAGCAGATGTGCAGTACTTTCTTTAAAGAGTAACAGTTAATCCATGTAGGATGATTTTCCTTTCTCTCTCTTTTTTTTAAATATACTTTCATTTTTTCATCGTAAAGTTCTTTGAAGTAAAACCCATGCCTTACACTGAAACCATTAGTGCCATACTGTCATATTCACAGTGGCTTGTGTTTTGAGTATCCTTGAATGGGATTTCTTTCTTTACTTTGCCTTTTTTTTTTTTTTTAAATGTAGCTTTGAAAGTTTCACCTCAAGAATTCTTGCAAGAGCTTTTTGACCATCTGTAAAAGTGACAACACTGATACATATCATTGATACAGTCTTTGAGGAATATAAGCTCCCCCCTTCCAAAAAATATAAGGGGGCTGAAATGATAGTACAGCCCCTCGGGTGCTTACCTTGCACGCGCCCAAACCGGGTTTCGTCTCTAGCATTCCGTGTGGCATGCTGAGCCCACCAGGAGCGATCTCTGAGTAAGCAGAGCCAGGAGTAAGCCCTGACCACTGCTGGGTATAGCAAAAGGGGGGAAAAGGCAATAAAACCCACAGGGATCAAGATTGCCTAAACATCACATGAAAGATGCTCTTCATAGATATATTGTCAGTACACTATGGTACTTTTGAGTCAGGTGTCTTTCAAATCTCCTGTTCTATTGTATACTTACAACTCTAAACTTATAAAAAAAAAGAGACACTTGCTTCTTTTTTGTTTTTCTTTTTTGTGAAATTTTGAGTGAACTGAGATGAATAATAAATAGCACATGACCAAGGTAATTTTAATTCTTAGTGTTGGCTTTTATGTGAAATTCTATTTAGAGATAGCTTATTCATGTAGTTACTGAAAACAGTTCATATAAAGCTTAGAAAACTTTGACAAATAGCGATTTGAATTCTGGCAGAAACTTCTTTCATTTTTAGCAAATAGTTATATTGGTAGTATTCTATCTGGAAAGTTAGTTTTATTCTTTCTTGATTTTGAGTAGTAATAGAATTGAATTGTACTCCATCGTCTCCATTCTGAAATACTCATTTTTTAAAGAATACTAGACGTTAGATACGTTCACCAAATTTCTTTAATTTTTTTTAAGTTTTTCTCATTTCTTGTATTATATCACCATTTAAAATAGCACTGATAAACACCAATGTACTTACTCCTTTTTAGCAACCCAAAGAAAAAGCTTTTCTTTTCGAGGCTAACTCTTTTGTTCTTAAACAGAATCCTTCTTTTTCGAGCAGTATTTTCTCTTGAGCAAAATGCTAGCCTTCCTTGAGAAATCAACTATTCTTCAAATTTTAATTTTTCTTCTATATTTGGCAATGAACTGTACATCCATTCCTCTCCCATATTTTAAACACTAAAGAAAGAAAAATACCACTTCTCTTTTTCCAGCATTTTCTGGGGTTTGGGTTTATTACTAATGAAAATCAGTTTGTTCTAGATCAGTGGATACCGGAACAGAGAGGAGGTATTTTCTTACCTGATAATGTATGTGTGTTCCGATTCTGCTAATCCAGAAATCCAATTGCATTTGTTGGAATCATCCTTAGTTGTTATTTGTTAGGGAGTCAACTCCCTCTTTCAGTTGTTTTCTGAAATTCAGTCCCTAGATGTGCTTTAGATAGGGTAGAATTTTTACCTCTTTCAGAGCACTGCTAAGAAGTTTTCAACTGGAACATAGTCTGAAGAAGCACTGAGAGCAAAAAAATTCAGAGTGGTGATTGGCCACCTCTGTTTGATTGACAGGTTGCAGGGAGAAACCCATTCGTTCTGGATTAATGGAACTGGAAAACAGAAAACAATTATCAGGTAAAAAAAACCTTTTCTTTAACCTTTGAAATTCACCATTTAAAAGATGAGTCAATCAAGGGATTTTATTACCAAGAAGAAAAAAATTTAGTGTCTTGTGAGCAGTGATCTCTGGCTACTACTTCCAAGAGTTAGCAAAACATCACTACCATTACTACACATTCTTGGCCTTTGTTGAAAGGGCTTGATTAAATGCAAATGAATGGGATATGAATGAGGTGCTATTACGTTTTAAATCTGGGGTAAAGATGTGAAGCAGAATTCTGTGGGTGGGGGATATTGGTGTTGCTTTATTTCCTGAGTTGTTCCTGGTTTCTGGATAAAGAGAACACTTTTTGTTTTTCCAGGTTATTAATCTGGCACTTTTCATGACTATTACTTTGTTACTGTATGCTGTTTGTTATATCTAACTTTACTTCATTAGGATGTCTTTTATAAATCTTTTATTATAAATTTTAATGACTATATCGACCAACTCTGTATTTTATTGACAGTTTTCTGACTGTTGATTAAAAACATTTCAGATTGAAGGCCAAGGACATGGTGCAGTATTTGACTGCAAATGCTCTCCTGATGGTCAGCATTTTGCATGCACAGACTCACATGGACATCTTTTAATTTTTGGATTTGGCTCCAGTAGTAAATATGATAAGGTAGAGTATTATGACATATTCTCTGTAGAGTTTTTTGTTTGTCTTTTTCTTACTGAATGGTAGGATTGTATTTGGGTATATAAAGGTGGTGGTAAGCTTAACATAAATCTTGTTAAATCCTTTGAAATCATTTGGGATGGCCAGAGAGATAATACAAGATTTACAGCACTTGCTTGAATGCATCCTACTCTGGTTTGGTTCGCAGCCCCATAGTATGGCCCCCTGAGCACAGCTTTGTGTGACCCCAGAATGCAATAACTTGGAAGCATGTCTACGAGAAGAGGTTGAAGATAGTTGTTGAATCTCTTTACATATGTAATAATTAGACCTTAATGAGTATATTTCAGAAGTAATGAGTTTACTTTGTTTAATAGAATGATCTAGATCAGGGCTCTTAAATACTGATCTATAAGCTGGGAATGGGAGATATCCAGAGAGGGAATCTTTGAAATTATCTAAAATATTTTGCTTATATGGATAGTGTACTTTATTCTGGGCCACAGATATGTGGCTTTCTGTGGTTCTTGAGGCTTATATGAACTGTTTATGGTAGCTAGTGTTGAATATTAAAGAAAGCTGTATCTGAGATTACTGCCTAAAAGGTTTGAATGGTTAATTTGCTGTATTCATAAAGTCAAAAGTTTGCAAATTCACAGATAAGTTTAAAGAAATTTCAAATTAACCAGTAAAATTCTATTTTAGGTATATCAGGCATGAATTCACATCAGTGATTTTGCTTTGGGACAGTTAAAAAAACTTAGAAAGTTTTGTCATGTTAATTTTAAATATGCTTAAGAAGTATCTTAAATTGTAAATTTAAAGAATTTATTTCAAATCATAATTGTATGGCTTAGCAAAATGCTGACAAATCATTTTTAGTAATTAAGAAAGATAAAACACGTAGCTCTGTAAGTAAAAGTTTAACTGATTAGTGAGTGGACTGGAGGGATATAGCACAGCAGGTAGGGCGTTTGCCTTGCACGCGGCCGACCAGGGCAACCCTGGTTCAATTCCTCCTCCCCTCTCAGAGAGCCTGCCAAGCTACTGACAGTATCTCGCCCACACGGCACAACCTGGCAAGCTACCTGTTACGTATTCGTTATGCCAAACATAGTAACTAGTGTCACAATGGAGACATGACTAGGTCTGCTTGAGCAAAATCAATAAACAACAGGAGGACAGTTAACAGTGATTTAATGTTAATTTTCTTTTGTATAAAACTTCCTGACTGAGGGAGAAAATTCAACTACTTTTCTGTTCATTAAATTTAATGTAAAAACTACAAGATTTATTTAAAATCGCTTCAAGAAAAGAATGAATTAAGAAACCTGTGATATTCTTTTACTGGTTTATCTTAATGCCATGTCTTATATAGAAGTGTTAGCCCTCTCTTAGAAGTCTCTGATGATAAACTTTAATATTTCTGTTCTTTTTAATGACCTTTCTACAGATAGCGGACCAGATGTTCTTTCATAGTGATTATCGGCCCCTTATTCGTGATGCCAATAATTTTGTATTAGATGAACAGACTCAACAAGCACCTCATCTCATGCCCCCTCCTTTTTTGGTTGATGTTGATGGTAACCCTCATCCATCAAGATATCAAAGACTAGTTCCTGGTCGGGAAAATTGCAGAGAGGAGCAACTCATCCCTCAGATGGGAGTAACTTCCTCAGGTATGTGCTCATTTTAATCAACAGATTTCTCTTTTTCCTTCTAATTTCTTAGAAAGTTATTAATTTTGTAATACCTAATTTGATACCAGATGAATGAACTTGTTTATATATTCATACAGCAACTTAATGTTGGGTATCTTTGTCCCTGATACCTGTTAACCTGTACAATAGTGCTTTTTAACTAGATAGGATCTGTGCTTTCACAGGTGAATTAGATGAGTAAAAATGATAGTTACAGGTTGATAAATAGTTAAAAATTGTGACTTTGAAAGTAGAGTAATAGTATGATGTGAGAAAGAATTAGCACTAGCTTACCTATTAACATTGAAGAATATTTTTAGATGTAATTAACTTTTATGTTGATAAGACAGGAATGAACAATGTTGAGATGTGAAGCATGGAGGAAGATTGAATATGGGACTTAAAATGGGGACAGTTCTGCAGACTTCTTTCCCCGTTTTCAGATTTGTGCGTTATTATGTTAAGTAGAAATTTGGGGAGTCCTTCTATAAAGAAGACTTAATCATGGGGGTATGGTGCCACCCGCAGGTCAATCTATACCTGTGAGGCGAGTGCATCAGCAGCCTGATGGCGCCTTCAGACTTACATATACCCCAAAATTGCTGCTGTGCCTTTGGCCAGACCCCAAAAACTTGGGGCAAAGTTTACCAAGAAAGTAAACGGCCAAAAGTTAAGTATGGCCAAAAGTTAGACACACCTACAAATAACCTCCGACTCAGCTATATAATTGGAGGCAAAGCCTCTCTGGTTTCTGATCAAACTGCTTAATGGCCATCACCCCAGAGACTCGGAAATAAATCTCAAAACCCAATGGATTTTGGCAGAAATGCGTCCGGTCCCTGCAGTAGGTTACCGGTGGCTCTCATCCTCCAGAGGCTACTGGATGGTCAGGTTTGGGCCCACAGTGATGAGACACGTGTGGCCTCCAGGGATGGGGGTGGAGCCGGCCCTTTCCTCTCCACCCCAACGAGACCCCGGATGAATGGCCTCTCTGACTCCTGACCAAGCTACTTAACTAAGGCCATGATCCCAGAGACTCAGAAATAGATCTTGGAACCCAGCGGCTTTTGGCAGAAATGTGACCAGACCCCGCAGTAGGTTACTGTCACCAGGCCACCCCAGGGGGGAAAGGGTACTGTCCCTCCACCTGCTCCCCCTTGGCGGTTCGGTGGCTGCCCCCAGTGATGAGACACTCGGAACCTCAAGGGATGGGGGTGGAGCTGGCCCTTTCCTCCCCGTCGCAACAAGACCCCAAGTCACCACCCACAAACGGCCTCTCTGCCTCCTGATCAAGCTGTTTAACGGCCATGATCCCAGAGACGGAACAAATCTTGGAACCCAGCAGGTTTTGGCAAGAAATCTCTTCAGAATTAATTGTTAAAATTTCGATATTTCAAATTCACGCGGCTACTACTGCAGCAACATGACATCATATGTTATTCGTAACCAGCAATAGAAAGCATATTGTCTACTGTTGCCTTTTCGGCAGATCTGAGTGTTGGGGTAAAATCCCAAATAATAATGGTGGGTCTAGTGTAGAAAATATTGGATGTGATCAAAGTAGAGAGAAAGTAATATGGAAGTCATCTGCTTCACAGGTAGGGGGAGGGTGTGGGATGGGGTTTAATGGGGGTTTTGGTGGTGGAGAATGGGCACTCGTGAAGGTACGGGTGTTTCATCGTATGACCGAGACTTAAACCCGAAAGCTTTGTAACTGCTCTCATGGTGATTTAGTAAATAAGATTATAAAAAATGGGGGAAAATAATAAAGCAAGGAACATAGGGGGGAAAAGGACAATCAGCTTTGTAATTAGTCTTCCAATTTTACTTGTTTTTTTTTGTGTTTTTTTTTTTTTTTAAGCTACATTCAGCGGTGCTCTTGGTTTATTTCTGACTCTGATTCTGGGGTCATTACTGGTGGGGCTCTGGGATTGAACTCAGGACAGGTGTCTGTGTGCAAAGCAAGCACCAACCTGCTGTACTGTATCTCTTGAACCAAGTTTTATTTTAGACCAGAAAAATTATGAAAATTTTTCTCAAATCTTTGGGCTTTTATTTATATTGCTTGTTCCAACATGTTGTGCCTGCCAACTGGGCTTGAAGGTAGGTAGGAAACTGGGAACAATGGTGGAGGAATGTTCACACTGGTGATGGGATGAACTCCTTGTTCTGTCACTCGGGGATCACTTCATTTGGGTCTTGGGGGATATATGGGCGACTGGGTATTGAATCGGTCTAATATGTGCAAGGCAAACACCCTATCCGTGGTACTGTCGGTCTGGCTGGCCCCATGTTAGCATGGTTCTTAAAACAAAGGGTTTTAATAATTTGTTGAATAAAAGTAACTATTGTAAGGCATTGGAGATGTTGTGGGGGTTTTTTTCCATATTTTATTTCATTAAAGCAGTACGATTTACAAAGTTATTCTTACTTGGGATTTAGACATAAAATACTGATCCCAGCACCACTGTTTCCCTCCACCATTGTTCCCAAGTTCCCTGTCTGAACAGGCAGCTATTAAAGTTCCGTTATTAAAGTTTCAGTCTCATGATTTCAGTGTGACTGACTCTGGTTTGATGGTTTTAACCTTTGTTGTTTAACCTGTGAACCAGTACTCCATCTGTAAAGTGGAATTGATAAACACCATTGCTATTTGAATTAATATGACTCACTCAGTGCCTAAATTCTGGTAAATACCTAGCAATTACAATTTCGATAATTTAACAAAGATTGAAGGAGCCATGTGTTTCCTTTAACTCCCATCATATACACTTGATCATTTTACATCTTTTTTACATTTTTTTATCATTTTACATCTTTTTGATCATTTTATATCTTTTTTACATCTTTTTTTTTTACATTTTACATCTTTTTTAATCAAGAAAAATTTAATTCTGGTTTAAAATGGACTGGTTTCTTATAGGACTGAACCAAGTTTTAAGTCAGCAAGCAAACCAGGAGATTAGCCCACTGGACACCATGATTCAACGACTACAACAGGAGCAAGACTTAAGACGTTCTGGTGAAGCAGGTATCAGTAATCCCAGCCGTTTAAGTAGAGGTAAGCATCGATTCTTTCAGTAAAATGTTAAAAAGTTGAAACAATCTACACTTCTGACAGAAGTGGTTAAATAAGTTCTGATTTATTCGGTGAATATTAGGCTGCGATATTAATGTTTTCGAGGAATGACAAAATGTTTTCAAGATTTCAGACTGAACAGTGAGGTTTTTTAATGTTTTATTCTTCCAGATTTTCTTTTAAAAAATGGAACTAGTTTAAAGAAAAAAAAACAAAAAATCTTTGTAGTAAATTTAAGAGCTAAAGCAAATATCGTTTGGGTTGTTCTGCTTGGATGGGTAGCTCAGACGCCAGTAGTCAAATTGGGAAGCTTACCAGCAAAGCAAGCTCCCAACCCATTACCTTATGTCTAGCTTCGGATTTGTCTGTTTTGGTTAATGGTGTAGTTTTCAAAGCTTTGTTTGTTGTTTATTTTTAATCAGTTTGTGTCTTTGTTGCTTACAGTCAGTAATCAAAATCACTAGTTTTTTAAGGTAATATTGATTCACTGTGAGTTACAGAGTTATTCGTTGAGTTTTTAGGTATACCATAAACAACAGTTCTTCTGCCATTGTCCATTTCTCTCTACCAAGGTACCCAGTGACCCTCTCTCCCCCCAGCTTAACTGTAGGGTAGGCACTTTTATGCCTTCTTTCAGCACTTTGTTGTCCTAGAGTGACCGCTTCCCTTCACTAATGCTGTATTGTGCTCTTCCCTGACTGTTGCCTTTGGGCCTGTTGGTCCCCTACTATGTTCCTTTATCTCCCACACAGGAGAGAGATCATTCTGTGTCTGCCTCTCTCCCTCTAACTTCTCTCAGCATGATACTTTCCAGGTCCATCCATGGAGCAGGACATTATATAATTTCATCTTTGAATACTGCTAAAGTTTTGTATATTTGCCATAGTTTCTTTATCCAGTCATCTATCTGTTCTTGAATACTTGGATAGCATCAGATTTTAACTTTTGTGAATAGTGCTGCAATGAACATAGGAATGCAGATGTCTTTTTTTATATTATTTTTGAGCCTCTGGAGTCTATCCTAAGAAGCGGAATTGATGGGTTATATGGAAGCTCAATTCGTAGTTACTTGAGGAATGTCCATATTGTTTTCCCAAAAGGCTGGACCGGGCTGAGCCTCTTCAGCTCAGTGTTTGTACCTCTCAACTGCCAGGAGATCTCTAGGTGAATCAGCTGGTTGGTGTTGTCTTTGGTCTGTCCAAGCTCTCCAACCCAGATTGTTGTTCTTGTTTAGGTTTTCTTAACTGTGGTCGCAGAGGGCACTATATTCTGTGTTGGGTGCATAGGAAGGATTTTTTTTTTTCTTTTTGCAGCTACTGGCATAGCTGAGTTGGTTTTCTGGTGCATTGTTGCTGGTCTCTGCGACACCAGTCACCCTTCTGAAGTTGTTACTGGCTGCCTCTGCGTGACAAACCTGGCTGTTGTCACACATCTGCCCAGTTTAATTTTTTTTTGACCTGACAGGCCTAACTTTATTGGTTCCCCAGCCCTACAGAGAAGTGGGCAACTACTCTGTGGCTTGTGCCAGTCATCGCTGTGATTCATTATTTATATAACCACTTGACTAGCCTGTTTTATTTGCACTGAACTCTTTCCTAGTTCCTGTACTGTAGTTTAGTTCTTTACTCTGTGTGAAGTTAATGTGGAAAATCGTATAGGCTTTTGATTTTAGAAGCCATTGGAGAAATGTTCTTAAATAGAACTCCCTATGTTAATTTTCTTCATATAGGCTCTGTAAGTTCTACCTCAGAGGTTCATTCACCACCAAATGTAGGACTTAGGCGTAGTGGACAAATTGAAGGTGTGCGACAAATGCACAGCAATGCACCAAGAAGTGAAATAGCCACAGAACGAGATCTAGTAGCTTGGAGTCGAAGAGTGGTAGTGCCTGAACTATCAGCTGGTGTAGCCAGGTAAGAAGAGTTGTAAAATTTTATATACAACAGTTTTTTTTTGTGGAAAGTCCTTTATTGTCTCATAATTTAGCATTTTTCATGACCAGGGAAAATTTGATTTTCAAAATAATTTTCTTAATGATATAAATGATGCAAAAGGAGGATATGTACGTGGGAAATGATCATAGATATACATGTGATCGGATTTGATATGTACTTGGAGATTTGAATGACTATCACATCTCAAATATACACAGATTCTCTTAATAAAAAGTAATTTCATAGTTTATTTTTACTGGATTTTTTTTCCACTTTAACTCTTAAGAGTCGATTTGAAGAGGGTACAGTAAATACCCATCTTGTAAAAAGTCTATTTCAAAGATTTTGAAAAATAATAGATTAAGAAATAAAAAATATGCAATAGGATTGTCTTTTCTTAAATTGAAATAGTTTCGGTGAATTTTTTTTTTCCTGCATGAAAGCATTGCCTTTACAATGAATCCCAGATGCATGTAACACTGACCCAATATTGTCCCTTTGTAGACAACTGGGTTCTTTGACATGTAAGGGGAGAACTTATACATTATGAAGAAGGACATAGGACTTAATTTATTTCCTTTCAAAATGCATTAAGTTAAATAATTCACTGTTAATGACGTAAGGAGAAGAATAAGGAGATGAAAAGAGGCTATTCAGTAATGGGTTGTAAACTGGTAGTGAAGGCCCTGCTTATGAGAAAGGAACATGAAGAGTGGGGTAGATGTGTTTCTCTAAATAATATTTCATTGAACCTGTGGTCAAATGAGACTATGGACATTAAACTTTCTGAAACTTTACCTGCAGAATAGTAAGTACTATTCTTTTAAAATGTTTTTGGGTTTATTCACTTTTGTTTCACAGTTTATAACTTAGCCCAGGAATTCCTTAAAGTTGTCTAGTACTTGGTTAAAATTACTTCGATCTCATAGTCAACCTCTGGGCTACTAGCCATATAAGAACTCTGAAGGTCATTAGTAAAAGTAATCATAAAATGAGAAAAGATTTTGTATAGACATTCTCTCGAAGATAAATAGATAAGCATATAAACACATGAAAAGATTCTCAAGTGATACCAGTAGTAGGGAAATGCAAATTAAAATCCCAGTGAAATCATTTGTATAGTACTTAATAGAATGACTAGTAGACAGTGACAGTACCAAATACTAAAAAGGATTTAGAGAAATTCGTGCACTTGTGACAATAAAGAAACGATACAGCCACTTTCCTAAAATGGCATTTTCTTCATAAACTTTACATGAGAGTAGGGTAGGGATGTGGTTCATGTAGGTGTACTCATCCACACCGCATGGTTCCTTGACTGGATCTTGTTGGTCTTCTTTTTGCCATCCTTCCAGCAACAACAAAAACCAGAACATTTAACTTCTGTGTCTTCCGGTGATTGTGATTGTGGGGATTTGTCAGAGGAATGGAAAGCTTATGTTCACACAAAATCCTAAATACAAACGGATCATGGCTTTATTTGCAACCTGGAAAATCTAGAAACAACGCCAGTATCTTTAAATTGAGTATAAGACTAAACAAACTGATATTTCCACACCATGGAAATAATAAGTAACAGCTAATCAATTTAATAATTTAGCAGAATCTTGACGGATAAGCCTCAGAGGTTATAAGTATATCCTTCCTCTTAAGGATGATATGAAATGACAAAAATAGAAATAAGAGAACATATTAATGGTTGCTTGATTTGGAACAGGGAAGGGGCAAGGAAGAGAAGGGGAGGGAAGGTAGGTATGATAGGGAGCAGCATAATGGATGTTCGAGGTGATGGAATGGTTCTGTACCTTGACTAGATACGTAAGTTAGACATGTGAAAGACGTGAATAGCACCAAATATCCATGTATTAAATATCCACTGCATTAAAGTAAAATGGGAATACTGTATAAGAATAGGGGTTTGTATCAACATTAATACCCCAGTTGTGATGGTATTTTTTTATAGTTTTGGGAAATGCAACAATAATGAGAAACTGGATATAGGATATAAGGATCTAATACGATTATATGTGATTCTATAATTATCACAAAAACTTTAGGAAAAAATATCCCTAAATTTTTATAAAGAAATTAAATCAACATTTTTTTTCAAAAATTTGAAGTCATCATCTTATTTCCATGTAGATTTATGATCAGCTACAATAGAGTAAAATGACATTAAGCATAAGTAATATTACAAAGCTGCTCCTAGTTTGAATATTTACTCCTTTCCAATTCTGAAGTCTCTAGGAAATAATTAAAGTTCAAAATTGGTATGTTTGTGATTCAGAAGCTTTACTGTTGGAAGGAATTAAAATGTCAAATTTGCCTGTCTGTCTGAGTTCAAATTTTATGAAACTAAAGTTCAAAAGTAATGTTTCTCTCAGTTGAGTCTAACGCCTGAATATAGTTGCAGTTTATTCGGCTGATGTCTGACTGGCCTTGCACTGGAAAGAATGTAGTTCTTTCAAAGTCTCAGGAATTAATTCAGCTTCAAGGTTCTGTTCAGCCTTTTAAAAAAATTCGTTGTCAGACAATTCAGATCCTCACTATGAAATCATGCACTGAGTTGAGGATGGGGGTTGCAAACCCATGGGTCCACCGTGCAGTGCATATTCCGGAGGTCTGGGTTCCTCTTCCATTGATTCTTGGCTACCTGGACTGGTGGTTCAATACATGATCCCCAGGTTATTTTGTTGCTCTCTTCCTTTAGTGCCGGGGATTGTACTCAGGGCCTCCAGGGCTGCATTGTGATATTTCCTGGGGGTATGTGGTGTCTTGAGCATCAGATAAGAGTTGGTCACTTGGAAGGCAAGTACCTTAACCTCTGTACTATCTCTAGCCACACACTGACTTTTTTATCAAGTCAATTTTTTAATCCTTGGAACAATAACTTTGGGAATAATCAAGAATCTAACAGCAGTTGAGTTGAGTTCATATACATAGTCTGGTCATTCGATACCTCAGTTCAGAGTGTACAGTCTAAATTTAGATTCAGATGAATCACAGATTTCCATCTGTAAATACTGAGAGTCACAGTCACTTTCTGCCACCTTATGTTCCTCTTGGAATCAGTTGTAAAAGTTACAGAGTAATAGGTGTGACTTTCAATTTTCTTTTCAGTAGGCAAGAAGAATGGAGAACTGCAAAGGGAGAAGAAGAAGTGAAGACATATAGGTCAGAAGAAAAAAGAAAACACTTTACTATTCCAAAAGAGAATAAAATACCCACTGTTTCGAAGGTGAATATTAATAACTTAATCAAAGTTATGGTGAAATCAGTATTTTAAATGCATTAAGTAAATACTAAACTAACATTTGCATCATAAGTGTTATAACTGTTTGTATTTTTAAAAGTGATAACATTGTAAGTAGGATACTTAGTGAAATAAAATTAATATGGTTAATTCTTAATATGATTAATCCTTAGGATATACTTTCCCACAGTTGGAAGAATTCCCCAAACTTTTAGAAAGAAAAGCACTGTAAATGGATAGACATTTGTGCTTGCACTTACATGTCTATGTTTATGGTATCCTTGTGATAAAATCTGGAATAGTTGTAATATCTATTGGTAGAAGAAGGATAAGAGGTCATAACATCTATGTATACATAGAATATTATATAGCTCTCTAAGGAAACACGTTAGAGCTCATTCCATTGCATTGAGAAGAGTTTATGATTTAGTATGTGAAAAAGTACTAGAACAGTAGTGTTTATAATACCTCATTTTACTGAAAGATTTGAAGACATAACTTTCAGGCTTTTAATAACAGTAATCACAAGTGTACGAATTATGAGGTAATATTTCACAATTGCAGTTTTTTTCACCTAGTAAAGGTACTTAATATTGCTTCTGAGTATAAATTAATACCTAAACAGTTTGAAGTAACTTTGTATTAGCATACCTTTCAAGTTTGCATCAAATCAGTATTTTAAATATATTAAACACTAAAAGCCCTGTTTCATTTTTCACCATACATTTAGTCCTATTTAGTCACCTTTTTTTATCTTCCAGTCCTTCTGGCAGCCACTTACTTGGTTTTATAGTATAAATGTTTACTTTTGTTTATCTGGTTTATTATTTCAGTCATGCAATATGTAAACAAAAACTATGTGAAAGCAGCTGTAAAGTAGGTTTTTGGCAGTAGGTTTGATCCTCACATTAGAGTGAATGAAAGGCATACAAGGGAGAATTGTATGCCTCTATCATGTAAATTTACTCCAGACCTGGTATGATGCCCCTGGAGTTGAAAATAGCTCTTAGATGTTGAAAGATAGAACAGGGGCTAAGGAACTTGCCTAGCACATGGTTAACCCTGGTGTGATCACCAGCATCAAATCTGTTCCCCTAAACACCTTTGTGTGGCACCCCACCAACCCCCAATGGGGGGAAAAAGAAGAAAGAAAATAGATATTCTCTCAAGTGTCTGGTCTTCTTGTGTGTGGACCAAGGTGTCATTATTGAGGATCGTAGAATGGAAAATCAAATCAATGTAAAAGATAGTAGGGGGCACATATGTTTTTCTGAAAAGGTGTGTTTGATGTGTTCTTAAGTATTGTGTGTATATGAAAAGGGAGAGGGGTAAGTTGCATCAAAAAATGAAGAAAAGATAAAAGCTGATGTGAAAAATAAGAAACTAGAATTCCAACTGAACAAGTAGTGTGCTAAAAAAGAATGCACGAGGAGAAAAAGAACTTAAAAACTTAAGCTTTGACTCTGAAGAAGTAGTGTAGAATATAAGGGGCTTGCGTTACATGCAGCTAATTTTGGATTTAGTTCAGCTTTTCTTTTTTTAAAACTTCAGGTACATGTAGTGATCCTTTATTGTTACTATTTTGTTGTTTTATTTTGGTTTGGTTTGGCTTTTTTGGTTTTAATTTCGGGGACTCTATCTGGCCTTGCTTAGGCCTTGTGCTCAGGGATTATTTGTGGTGGTGCCCATGAGATCATATTCAGTGTCAGGAATAGGACCCAGGTCGACTGCATACAAGGCAAGTGATCACTTCACCTACTGTTCTGTCTCTCTGTCCTTTATGATCAGCTGTTAAATATAGATTGTCTCAGGGAAGATAGGCCTCCCTTGATAAAAGGTAATTGGTCTAGAGAAGAGAACCAGATATAATCTGGAAGAGAAGAGATTTTTTTTTCATTGTAACTCTAATGTTTTTAAATTTTTAACTGAACTAACATTACCAGTAAAAACAAAGTCGTTTAAAGATTGAGAGTGTAGATTGGGAAAGTTTCTGAAGAGAAAATGAGAATTACTACAAAATTAATATGAATTTGTTAGATTTTTATATTAATTAAATTGATTCACTACATTACCAGAATGATCATTAAAGAATCAGGACCCACATTAGCAAAATTGGCGGCAACCCCGATATATATAATAATATTTGTGTTGCTTTCCGGTTAGAATAGTGATTAGAGTGTCAGAGCCACTTGCTATTAAGCTATGCTTCGAGGGAAATAAAATTACTTTGTAAAACTCTTAGTTGTGTGGGTGGAAAGAGATAGCATAGGGATTAAAGTGCTTGCCTTGAACAGTGTTTGATCTCGAGGCATTACTGGATGCAGTTCCACCAGGTATGACCCCGGAGGCTCCCAGAGCACTGCTAGAGAAGTCTGTATTAATTCCTGACACCACAGTCAGATCATCCTTTGGTACTTACATTGAACCTAGGTTTAATTGGCCACAAATCATTATGGGTCCTCTGGGACTCTTGATACCACTTAAGGCCTGCTTCTCCCTCGAAATATTAAGCCCATGGAATCATGATGTTTAAGGCTCTGGATTGTATCCTCCCCTCAACTTACCCCGTTGGCAAACCCTGCTCTCTAGGAATCCTGCAAATTTGGTAGTGGTAGTACTGTCCTTGTGGACCAAGTAGTGACTGGTGTTTTCATATATCTAGTACAGTGTTCACTTTCTGCTTGCCATTACAACTGAAGTAAATCTCTTGAGATGCACAGTGAAACTAGGTTTGAAGCTTTTCTTGGGGAAATTTTAAATTTGGATATCAAGAGTGTATTTTTCAAAGATACTTACTCATCATCCAAAACAAGGAGTCAGTCCATTAACTGATGAATGCATAAGAAACTAGTAATTTATGCTACTCTAAAAAACTGTAGCATTTTTATTCTATATGTAGTATTTTCATGCTACACAATAGTATTATGGAATAATAGTATTATGGAATACTACTTTTTTGTCTAAAAATGTGAAATCATGCTGTTTGGGACAAAATATGTTCAGAATTATTTCTTGTTTTGTGCTTAGGGATCACACCCTAGCAGTGTTCAGGGAAACATACACGGTACCAGAGACCAAACTGGGCTTATTCATGTGTGAGATTTACTGCATAGAACCCTGTACTATTTTCCTGCCCACTTAATAGAATATGTTTTAGGGTGAAGATATAATTACTAATTCAAAAGGATAAGGATATTAGAACTTCAGTTATTTTCTGTCAGTCCTTTCCTTTATAGATTATTCTTTGACATGTTATGATTTATGTGATACATTGCATGCATAGTACAAAGCTACTAGGTAATTTTTGTAACTTTCCCTTTATTTTTCTATAATACCTTTTTTCCCCTAGATGTGAATTATTATTTTAATCATAAAGTTTAATCATGGTTTATACAACTGGATTGGATAACTAACTCTAAAAAAATATATTGACTTCATGTACTCAGTTCCTGTGTTTCTTGAGTTCATTATCTGTTACCATCTATTTTGTCATACTTTTTTAAAATAAGTGCTATTTATAGTCTCGTCTGCCACACAATATTTTTCTAACATTCATCTATAGAAGGGAGCTACTTGGTGTTCTAAAATATTACTAACAGTTGGTTCATGATCACCATTTTGGTTTCCAGTTTGCTTGTGCAAATATATCTCACAGCATATCTCTTCTGTTGGACATGGTTACAGAGACTTCAGTGTTTGATTTAATCTGTATTAGTATAAATCCTTAGATCTGTATCACTAGTCAGAAGGAAAGTTTTTGCTACTCATCTGTCAGCATGTAAATTAACATACAAACCCATAAATTGAGCTGACACAGTATTCCACTTGTATTTTATAACAGTGAATGAGATAATAGTTAAAATACATACTTTTCTTACTACAAAGCTTGACCTCTTAGCAAACTAAATAAATTTACTTTTTTCTAGAATCATGTTCATGAGAATTTTCTGGATCTTGGAGAATCCAAAAAGCAACAGGCAAACCAGCACAATTACCGTACAAGATCTGCGTTGGAAGAGACTCTCAGACCTTCAGAAGAGATAGAAAATGGCACCAGCTCTTCAGATGTAAGATTCATTATAGTAATAAATTCATTTTTATTAAGTCTGGCAAGCTCCCCGTGACATATTCGATGTGCCAAACACAGTAACAAGAAGTCTCACAATGGAGACGTTACTGCGCCCGCTCGAGCAGATTGATGAACAATGGGAGGACAAGTGCTACAGTTTGATTTTAGCATCATCACACTTACTGACATTCAAATGCTCAAATCATGTATTTTTAGATCCTACAATGAATGATACGATGTGCTGTTTATATTCTAGACATGGCACACATACATGTATTCACAATCTGAGTTTTATACAACAAATGCAGATGACTTAAATATTTGCGTTTTCTGTTGGTCTGTATTACACAGTTATCTAATTTTTAAATTGTAGGCAGGGATTATACCTGGATTCCTATTACTTTAAAGCTGAGGCTTTAAAAGCTGAAGTAATAATATCATAAAAGTTCTGTTCTATGGTGATTAAAATAAATCAGCAAACATTTGTCAAATTTGGTTTGTTTACAATCTATGCTGATTTATAGCTTTTCCCAGTATAGATTTGTTTGGTGGGGTGGTGAGGAAGCACTCTTAGTGGTGTTTAAGACTTACTCCTGGCTCTACTCAGGATCTCTCTTGGAGGGGTTCAGGGGATCCTGTAGGGTGTCTGGGATCCACCGTAGATCAGCTGCTAGCTGTGTACAAGGGAAGCCACCTTCCCCACTGTACTATCTCTCTGACTCTATCTCTAATATAAATTTTAAAATACTCTTGTTATCATCTCTGTAAATATCATTGTCCCTACTCAATTACATATTCTTTCCTCAAAGTTAGTTTGCAATCACAAATTAATCTTTCACAGCACTCAACACCTTCTCCCATCCTCTGATTAATTCAGAGCCTCTGTGATCTTAAATGTTAACTGCTATACAGTTTTTAAAGCCATCTCGTGTTTGCAGTGCTAAACATAGATGGAATTCTTTGAGTAGATTATCTGTGAACAAGGCAAAATTATTTTACAACCATTTCAAAAGGTATTCTCCAGTAGCTTTAGTTTTAAATTCAAAATAATGTGTCCAGTCTGGAAAAATACGCCGATTGACATACGTTCATTTAGATATGTACAAAAAATACAAGATGTATGCTCCAGGACACTTTCCAGACACTCAGGCCGAGACTCACACACGAGTGAAGCCCCACAGAGTGAGGGAAGCGGAACTCTGTGACCGCGGACTCCAGGCTCAACCGACCAGGAGCAGAGATCCTCTGCGTGCTCCCAGCAGCCCGGCAGACCTCTATTACCTCCACTACCTCCACTACTCAGCTGTCGACAAGCTACAGGACGCTTTCCAGACTGCACGGCCACGCGACACATAAAACACTTAATACAAGATTACCACACCATGTTTGATTGCGTTGAAATATGGTTTGAACCATGGGAACACCTGCAAGGATGATTAGAGCCCTCTCTAAAATGGCAAGCTACCGAGAATATCCCGCCCACGTGGCAGAGCCTGGCAAGTTATCTGTGGTTTGTTCGATATGCCAAAACCAGTAAATGCAATGGGTCTCATTCCCCTGACCCTTAAAGCACCACCAATAGGGCAGTGTTAAGAAGGACGAGGAAGGAGAGGCTGATAAAATCTCAAGGCCTAACTAGGCTGGCAAAACGAAGAAGGGCAAAAATGACTGTCTACTTTCAATGCACGTATGCTGACATCAGATGCATCCATTGAGGACCTGATGGTGTAAGCGTGAAAGATCGAGTATGACATCATTGTTCTGACTGAGACAAGAAGGCATCAATCACATCACACCATTTTTGACACTGGGGAAGAACTGTTCCTCAGGATATGTGACAAAAGAGGCATGGCCATGAGCTTTGATTCATTCGAATCCCTAACAACCTGAATCGGACATTTACACTTGAATAGATGTGGCTCACTGCCAGCAGTTTCTATCTTCATTGTCTACGCACCAACATCCAGTTATGACGAAGGAAAAAATGAGAAGTTCTACATTGAGCTGGAGAAATGCTATAAAGAAGACCACACCTTTTACAACATCGTTGTCAGTGATTTTAATGCCAAGAAAGGACCGAGAAGATAAGCTGAAGAACACCACAGTGGGACCCATGGCCTAGAATGGAACGAACAGGGTGAGAGACTGAGTTCATCATGTTGACCAAGACCGTCCGTGGTAACTCAATTCCAGAAGGCTGAATCTAAATGTTGGACATGGGAGTCTCCCGGTGGACGGTTCCACAACGAAATTGACCACATCATATTCCATGGATGGTCTTGCCTGACCAGTGTCACTGTTGTCCCAAAATTCCAAATGGGATTGGACTACCGTCTCTCCTTCATGCAAAATTCTACTTCACAGAGTGGGAAGAAAAGGCTGCAAAGTTTTAAGAAGAGAACTCCCAGAACGACCACCATTTGGGAGCTTTTTGGCACTATTGGGGCAATATGGGAAGAGGCCTTCATTGACAGCATTGAAGAGAAATACGATCGGCTGTTTCAGTACCTCCAAGATTGTGCAAAGAACGCTGAGAAAAAGATAGCCACAAAACCTGCGTAATGGGATATCAAGTGTCAAGTTTGTGGGCTGCTTATTCACAAATACTTTATATTTTTAAAATTTATATAGTTACTTTAAAATGTTTTAGTGAAATAATTTGTTTTAATTGGATTCCTATTATATGTGAAAGGTTTTTGAAGTCATTCGTGTTAAAAAATAATTTGTTACTGCTTTAACATCCTTTTAGTGTGGTTGAATAAATTTTTACAAAGGCAGTGAGAGCACTGTATAGTCTCTGGCTCTGTGTGTGTATGTGTACACAATTTTTTCTTTTATGTTTGGGACACAACTAAGTAATGGACAGAATTCTTTTTAATGCAAATGTTTTGTACTTTAGTCACGTTCTGGGCTGTTTGGTCTTTATTGTTTTTCGAAAGTAAAGTGTATTTCTTCTTTCCCTTCAAATAAGTGCACAAAATCTGGGAATGATCAGATTCAGATAAGATGTTATGTTGAGCAGAGATTAAGTTTTCTAAATAAAATATACTAGTTTATTTCCAGAAGAGATTTATATAGTACTTTATTAGCACGTCTCCCCTTCTCCCGTTGTTTTGGTCTAGAGAGATAGTACATTTGGCCCAGTGCTTTCCTTGCACACAGCTGACCTCAGTTTGATCTCCAGTACTGTCTGTGTTTCCCTGAATCCACCGCCAGGAGTTTTTCCTGAGCATGGAGCCAGGAATAAGCCTTGAGCACCACTGAGTATGGCGCCAAAACAGTAAAAAAAGAAGTTATGACTTAACAGGGTAATATCTTACAATGATAAGTGAATATTTTCTAAAGAGAAACAGTGCAGATAATTTCTCATCGTCTGCCATTTGGATGAAATATTAACCAGAGTTTTTAAGTTTTTGTGTATGCTAAGGTTATTTTAACAGTAATAGTCACTATATATTAATAAGAATGGTCTCGGTTTTAGCTTTTTTAGGATAACTTTCGAAGACTAAAAGTTGTAGGCTTCTTCCCAATTGATTTCAGTTGTTAACCATGGAATTTATTGCATTCAATCTAGAAAACAGACAGTGATTCTTAAATAGCGAAATATGTTCATTTTCTCATAGGTTGCTCTAAATAGAACTTTGATGATCAGAGTTGCACCTTGTACATATTAATAATTATATTTGGTGTTTTTTCAGTGAGAATACTAGACCTGTACTTTACAACTTATTTAAGTGTAGCTTTTGTTACGTATCATACATTGTTGGGTGGTTTTTGTAATCAAAAAATTTAGTTTGTAAAATACTATAAAATTTCTATTTACTTTTTCAGGAAGGTGAAGTTGTTGCTGTCAGTGGTGGAACATCAGAAGAGGAAGAGAGAGCTTGGCATAGTGATGGCAGTTCTAGGTAACTTCATGCATTTTTATTTCTTCAAATATAATACAGAAGTTTTAGGAAACTTTGGAAGGACTGGCGAGACTGTACAGCAAGTAAGGTGCTTGCCTTTGCAAACTGACCCAAGTTTGATATCCAGCATCTCATATGTCTCCTGAACACACCTCCAGGAGTCATTCCTGAGTATAGAGCCAGGAGTAAGCCTTGAGCATCTCTGGGTGTAGCTCTAAAACAACAAAAACTTTTTTAGAATTCCTTATAAAAGGGGTCCTTATCAGCATTATATTTCATGATTTCTTTGAGTTTAAAGTTAATCCTCCTTTAAATTTTTTTTGTAGTTGCAATTTTCTAACATTAAGATTTCCTTTTCATACTGTTGTTTGATATTTATTAAAAGGGTGCATGGAAAGTCTTAGTAGCAAGAAAAGTGTCACTTTGAGGGAATGGTAATCATGTTTTAGCATTATTATACTTCAGTCCTCTGCTGGCAGTAGCTCTTAAAATTGTCAGAAGAAACTTATGAGTTAGCGTCTATAGGAAGACCTAGAGCCAAATTTAGAATTAAGAGCTAATATTTCAGTAGCACAGTGAAATAGTGGTCTGGGGTTATATCTGGTAGTTCTGTTTATTTAGAAGAGTAAAGAAGGAAAGCTCAATCTTCTGGCTCAGTAATAAAGAGCATCTGATATTATGAGACAGCAGTGAGATTGTTTTGGAGGAACAGAGGTGACTTCAGCACTTGGGGGAAATTGCTATAGAGAACCTGGACTAGGTTTTGGAGGTTGACCTTGATGTTAGTAGATTTTTAAGAAGTGAGTGATCCAGAGAGTATGTGGCAGTTGCCGTTTTTAATCATTATTTCTGGGATCGGGGGGGATCCGATCCCAGAAATAAAGGGCTGGAGTGATAGCACAGTGGGTAGGGCGTTTGCCTTGCACGCAGCCAACATGGCCGACCTGAGTTCGATTCCTCTGCCCCTCTCGGAGAGCCCGGCAAGCTACCGAGAGTATTCGATATGCCAGACACAGTAACAACAAAGTCTCCAATGGAGACGTTACTGGACCCGCTCGAGCAAATCGATGATCAACGGGAGGGCCTTTACTTACTTTACTTATTTCTGGGATCAGTTTTAATATTTTGAATAGGTCTTTTCTCTGCATTTGCATTCCCATGCATTAGACCTAGTGCCGGAACATTTTTTTCTTTCTTTTTTTTTTTTTTTCAATTTTCAATTTTATTGCTATTTTGGTGGGGAATCGGTGGTATTTGGGGCTACAAAGGGGAATGACGAGGACTTGCATTTGTGCTCTGGGAATTACTCTTGACAGTCCTTGGGATCAAACTTTGTTCAGCCTCAAGTACCACAGGGGCCTGGTCTACTGTATTGTCTATAGTTTATATATGGTAATAGTTTTTGTTTCTGGGCCACATCCAGTCTTGCTCAGGGCTTGCTCCTGGCTCTGTGCTCAGTGATCACTCCTGGCAAGCTCAGGGATACTATATAAAGTGCCAGGAATTGAACCCAGTTTGGCTGTGTGCAAGGTAAGTACCCTGCCTGCTGTATAGTATTACTCTTGCCCTAATACAGTGTATTCTAAAATATTTTCAAACATTTGTATATATAAAACTGTAAAATTATGTAGTCTTACACACTGAGATGTAAACAGAAGATTGCATAACCAGATTCTCTGCAGCATTGATTTAGTAAAGCTACCAAGAGTATAGCACAGCGGGTAGGGCGTTCGCCTTACAAGCGGCCAACATGGCCGACCCGAGTTCGATTCCTCCGCCCCTCTCGGAGAGCCCGGCAAGCTACCGAGAGTATTCGATATGCCAGACACAGTAACAACAAAGTCTCCAATGGAGACGTTACTGGGCCCGCTCGAGCAAATCGACGATCAACGGGAGGGCCTTTACCTTTTACCTTTACCAAGAGTAAAATGGAAAGAATTAGAAAATGTGATGATATGGCTTTTATATAAATACTAAAACCTCTGTTTTCTGAATCACAGGTGTACTTGCAAACTTTATTTATCATCTACAGAAGCTGTAGGTCTACCTTAGACCTCAGGCGTGTGTAGATGGCTGGGTAAAGTTTACCAGTACACCCTCCACTGGACAGGAAGCACTTCTGATTTTACCTGTGCAGTATCAGTCAGCATGAAGGCATCAGTGATCCCCAGTGAGAGTTCACTCGGTCAAGAGTCCCTACTTCCCAAGAAAAGTAATCGCTGTACTTCCTCCTTAGTATTGTTACTTCATGTGTTATATGTGTTTTGCAGGGCGGTTCTTTTTGATGTTGCAGAATTCAGGACTGTGACAGTTTGCTCCTTGTTTCATATTCCTAAAATGTTTCTAACATATTTCAAGCACCAGAAATTAGTATTTTTTTAACAGAAATAATACATAATTATGATTCATTGAATTTGTTTTTAATAAGGGTTTTTATATCGTGTTTTTTAAAAAAATCTTTTAGCTATTTTAGTTACACCTACAAAATTTTAATAAAGTAGATGACCAGGACTTGAGTGAGTACAGCAGGTAGGACACTTGCCTTGCAGTGACTGACCCAGATCCCCGTCATTGCCTGTAGCTCCCCCCTCCCCCCCAGCTTCATCTAGAGTGATCCTGAGTCTAGCGTGTGACCCATAAACAACAGCAAAAAGTAGTTGATGAGTTGAAAGTTAGGGAAAGATTTTTAGTAAATTTCTTTACTAAAGTATGTACTGATCTAAAATCTTTCCCTATAACAATTTTATATATATATCTTATGTGTGTAATTAAATTCTAGTGACTACTCCAGTGATTATTCTGACTGGACAGCAGATGCAGGAATTAACTTGCAGCCACCAAAGAAAGTTCCTAAGCATAAAACCAAGAAAACAGAAAGCAGTTCAGATGAAGAAGATGATGAAAAACAGAAGCAAAAACATATTAAGAAAGAAAGGAAAAAAATTAATGAAGAAAAAGATGGACCAGTATCACCAAAGAAAAAGAAGCCCAAAGAAAGAAAACAGAAGGTGATTCTTGTGTGTGTGTGTTGCTGTTATCAATATAAATGAGTATCTAATTCTGTTTAAAAAGATGGGGTGGGGGGGTTCCCAGTTGGTGCTTAGGAGGCCTCAGCGCCCCCTTCAGTGTGCTTGATACCTGGACTAGTGGTTCAGTACGAGGGTACAAGGATGTGATGCTTCTTGTGTTGTGCTGGAGATTATCTGGCCACCATCAGTGCTAGCAGCTTTCAGTGCCACACCCAGCAGTACCTGGCAGAGGCTTCAGGGACTTTGTAGTACAGGAAATTAAACCTCAGGTTGAACACACGGTAGGCATGTACCCTAACTACTAATCTCCTGATTCTTAAATTAATGTTTTGTGCGAAAACAAAGCATACATTTAACAAATACAGTTGATGATAAGTAAACATTGTTGAGCTTAGCAATGGGTAGTAAGAGGAAAAACTGAGGAGTGCACAGTAGTTACCAAGTATGCCATAATATTCAAGTTTTATGTGATAGCCATTTGAGAATATTGAGTATTTAATCCATTGAGCAGATTTTTCTTGGAAATCTGGTAGGATTTATGCATAAAAGCATAGTATGATGAAATAATAATTACTTCTTAGTCATTCTTATTGTTAGTGCTGAAAATAAAAAGAATGCATTTGGGAAACATCACTTCTAATAAAGTAGGAAAAATTTGTCATGATATTATCACAAGAATATGCATACAAACGTACTACTATTGTAGCTAACCTTCATTAATTTATAGAGCGTATATATGATTTATAATCAGTTGATCTTTTATTTTTTGCTTTCTGGGTCACACCTGGTGATGCACAGGAGTTACTCCTGGCTCTGCACTCAGGAATTACTCCTGGCAGTGTTCGCATATGGGATGCTGGGAATCAAACCCGGGTCCGTCGCGTGCAAGGCAAACGCCCTCTGTGCTACCGCTCCAGCCCCCCTGCATCTACTTTTAAGTAAAATACGTGAACATAATTTATTTCTGTTGTCCAAAAGGTTCTGTTGTCCCATTTCAATGGGAAGAATGTTTGATTAAGTGAAAGGAAGCTTTTATTTTTTGATGTTGCCACTTTTAGTATTAAATGTTCTCATGAATAGAATTAAGTACCAGGGAGACTCTGTTGTCTTCGTCCCCAGTTAGATTTGCAAAAATAAAGAATACCTTGGTCTTAAGTGTTGAGTTCATCATTTGAACTCTTGTTTTATCTTCATGATTGAGAACTGCTCTTTGTCTTGGGGGTTGGCACCACACCCACCAGTGCTCCTAAATGGTATTCGAGGGCCACTCCTCAAGGTACTTTGCAGCCAGGCAGGCGCTTGCACTCCAATCCTGGGAGCTATTAGCCCTAATTATGAATTCTTTTCATTTGAATCCGCAGCCTGTTTTTCTTGTCAGCACCTTTGCTTTCATCTAGAAAAAATTAACCAAAGAGAGTACTACATGTACATACCCACAACATTTCTGTTCTGCCTTTTACTGATGATATTTCTAGGTTGACATTTATGTTTTGTGGTAGACAGAGTAGTTAAAACTCATTTAGCCATTTTTTGTTGTTGTTTAAGAAGATAATTTATCTTTAAATGTCAAGACAGTTTTAAACGTTAAAGTTCTGATGGTGTCATCAAGAGAAAAATCTTTCTTCCCAAGAGTGCAGTTTGATGCATCTAATTCACTGTGATTTGATAATTATCCACAAGCTAACCTTGAACTTCTTTATACGGTGCCGCATTTGATTCTGCTACTACTGTTTGGCATGTTTTTGTTTCACTGTGTTAAAGTAATGTGTCTAGCTCTTTTCTGCCTTTAAATTTACCTGGGAGGGAATTTTTACTTAAGATTAAGTTACTGCAGAATATTCCTTTAAGTTTATATTTTGCTTACATAATTTGATGTTAGCCAACCAATAGAAATAGAAGTAGAGAAAATTTTCTGAATCTTCTTGTTGTCTGAAGGAAACACTGTTTATGTGATTAAACATCATTAATTGTTATTTTCACTTTTCCATATGTACAACATCATTTGATCTAATACACTTTAAAATAGTATAACATTTTTCAGACTTTTATTAAGTGATTTAAATTCTCTCTTACACATTCGAAACTTATTTCATAAGTTTTTTCCTCAAACTCCTTTTACTCTGGCAGTCCTTGTCCCAGATGACTATCCTGACAGTTGTTCCATCAACCCTAAGCTACCGAGAGTTTTCCTTATCTGCCTTTTCTCTCATGTTCCACATCTGGTCATCAGGAAATTTTTGTAGTTCTGTTTTCTAAATATGTTCAACATACGTCTTTATTTTGCTATCATAATCATATGAAGTAGCATGCTTTCATTTAAACATATAGCCTTCTTTTTGTCTTTCTGCTCTACCCTTTTCTTCTGTTCTAAAGCAACTATGGATCTTCTTTTTCTATAGAGGACCAGCTACTCTTGCAGGGTAATTCGAAAACAGACAGTCAAGAAAGCAAATAACTATGTTCCAAGAAAGAAACTAATAGACTGGACTTGGGCCATGACCCATAATTTACAGTTTCCTCCTCTGATACATCCAGAATAATCCTTTTATAATGTCAGATCTTGGGGCTGGAGCAATAGCACAGCGGCTGGGCGTTTGCCTTGCACGCGGCCGACCCGGGTTCGATTCCCAGCATCCCATATGGTCCCCTGAGCACCACCAGTAGTAACTCCTGAGTGCAGAGCCAGGAGTAACCCCTGTGCATCGCCAGGTGTGACCCAAAAACTAAAAAAAAAAGAAAATGTCAGATCTTACCTACTCTTTCTGAAATTCTCCAATGGCACGTTTATAAACACACACACACACACACACACACACACACACTTTTATGTAGATAGAGAGAAAGATAACAAAGTTTTATATACTACTCTCCAATAAGAGTCATCTTTCTGTGTTTGAGAATTAGCAAGAAACAGTTAATTGCAAGAAGAAAATGAATGTTGCTGCAAATTGTCCCTAATGTCAGGTGTGACATTGCTTCTTGAGCAGGTTGACATTGGCATGTCAGTTTGTTTCAATTAAGGCATTCAAGTATAAGCTGTTGGTTGTATGTGCCAGTGTCAACATGTTAAGTGAATTTATGTTAACTCAAAATGGTGACTATTTTATGGAGGCAAATAAAGAATAAAGTTTAGGGTTTAATGCTCAAACATTGAACCAAAACTTTGTTTTTGAACTAGACCCAGACTGAATTTTAGGCTAACTTTTATATGTCTTGGTTTAGTACATAAAATGTTAATGAACTGATAGAATTTTTAGCAAAGAATTATATACAGATTTTATATGGGGTTGAATTTATGGAAATATATTGACATCTTTGTTGTGGACTTCGTAGGGTTTTGGTATTAAAATATTTTTTATGCAGTGATTTGAAAAGATTGAATAACTTCAGTCACCGCCAATGCCATCTACTCAGAATAAGGTTTTAGGAACATTTCTGTGCAAAGAACTCTCCCTCCTGTTTATTTTAACTATATTTAGAGTTAAAGGACAGATTGATCGATGAATACTTACACGATGATAATGTTTTATAATGTTCTGAACTCTTAGAGACTGGCTGTAGGAGAACTAACAGAAAATGGCTTGACACTAGAAGAATGGTTACCTTCAACTTGGATCACAGATACTATTCCCCGAAGATGCCCGTTTGTGCCACAGATGGGTGATGAGGTACTTTTAATTTTTTTTAAATATCCTGTCTTTATATCTTCCAATTAGCCTTAAATATTTTTTAATAGATCTTGAGGCGGAATTTAAGAAATTGTAATGCACTTTCAAACTTAAAAAGAAAACTTGTATTTATTCTTCTACCTAACCGTAAACATTTTTCAATAGTTCTTGAAGCAGAACTTTAGAAAATTGCAACTATTACATTCATTCAAGTTATAGTTAGGAGATAAATCCAAGTATGAGAAAAGCTCTTTTTTTTTTTTTTGAGACTACTGTAAATTTGCTAGAAATATTAGAAGTAAATTCAACTATTTAAAATAGAAGTAAATTCAACTATTAGAAGTAAGTACAACTATTTAAGTGGATTGCTAGCTGACGTGGGCTAGAGCCGTAGCACAGCGGATAGGGTGTTTGCCTTGCACACAGCCGACCCGGGTTCAATTCCTCTGTCCCTCTCGGAGAGCCCAGCAAGCTACTGAGAGTATCTCGCCCGCAAGGCAGAGCCTGGCAAGCTCCCCGTGATGTATTCGATATGCCAGACACAGTAACAGCAAGTCTCACAATGGAGACGTTACTGGTGCCTGCTCAAGCAAATCGATGAACAGTGGGAGGACGGGGCTACAGTGCTACTGTAAGTATTGTAGTAGCAATTACATAAGAATGGAAAAAATCTTCAGCATTTTAATACCTAGAATTTTTTCTCTCTTTAAATAAGGTTTAGACTTCCAGCAGTGTTAAGGGGACCCAAGGACCACTTCTGGAGATATTATGTCTAGTAAGCCTCATGGTACTGGTCCCAAAGCAGTACACTTCTGAGAGCCCAGCTAGTCATGTCCAGTGTATTGCTGACTAGGTACTGCCAAGAATCAGATTTAAAGCCGTGCTAATCCCAGACATGTGCCTTACTACTTGAGTTATTTTCATGGCTATAGGGTGGATTTGTTTGGGGGTTTTTTGTTTGTTTGCGGGTTTGTTTGTACCCCTAACCTGTCAGCGCCCAGGGCCTACTCCTGACTCTCCACTTAGGGATCACTCCTGGAGAGAATCAGGAGAGACTCTATGTGATGCCAGGGCTCAAATTGGGGTCAGCTGTATATAAGAAAGCACCTGCCCTACCTGTTCTGTAGTTCTTTCTGGCCCCAGGATGTATTTTAATGAGGCTTTTATTGCCAGTTTCATTTTCTAAATTACAGTACACATTTTTTCTTAACTGCAGGCTTAAATAAAATTGAGCTTGGCATTTTAGGTTCCTTCTATTTCATGAAAGTTGTTTAAATATCTGCAGATGTTAATTAGAGCTTTTTTGAAAAAGCCTATTATCTTAGAATAAGAAATTATTTTTTTGAAAGTCTGCTCATGATTTTATAGAGTGTACCTAGAAATTTAAAAACCTTTTACTCGAGAGGTTCACATCTCCTTGTTTGGTGTTTAAATGTTAGGAGACAGGGATTATATGGTGTCTTAGCGATTAGTATTTATAAATTAGAAATTAAATTAGACACCTTTTAAGTAATGCACACTAATTAGCCTTAAAAAGTAGCAGGTGGCAGATGACAGTAAAAAAAATGGAAACAAAAAGATTACATTGCAAGAGAGCTGTAAAAAACAGTTTGAAATAATTTATTTACATAATACTTATCTAAGAAGATTGAAAGAGCCCACAGGATTACCACATTGTTCCAGTTCAGTGCAGAGATGGAATCTGACATTGAATAATGAGATATTTGATAGAATTATATGTAATTTATTATGTCAGGATGGAATGGTGTAAAAGTGTGCAATTCGTTTTGAATAATTTCTCTTCATGGCGTGGAGGGGTTGGCTATACTCAGCGATGTTCAGGGGTTACTCCTGGCTCTGCACTCAGCAGTTAATCCTGGTGATGCTTGGGGGACCAGAAACCATATGGGATGCTAGGGATTGAACTTGGGTTCGCCATGTGCAAGGTAAATGCCCTACCTGCTGTACCTGCTGGCCTGAAGAATTTCCTTCCAGAATGTAAATTCTTCTAGCTGTTCATGCTTAAACAAGTAAGTTCTCATTTTTTAGTGTTTATCTTACATCTAACGATTCATGCACTTGGAGTTATGGCACGCTAAGAATTAAAATAAAAATAAGTAGAATGAGGGATATATGTATACACATATGTGTATATATATGTATATATGATACCAAGAACTTGTAGGTACCACTAAAAACCTTCCCTAAATTTTGTTTTAAAAAGCCATTGTCAGACTCAACACCAAGTCTCACACCAAGGTTCAAGTCTCAGTTACATAGAATATGTGTCGGGTTCAAATGTCAGTCATAGAATATTTCTTAATTGGGGGTCATTTAAACTTGACCTTTATAAAATGAGGATATATTCTTTGTTATCTTTATAAGGATAAAATAGCACTGTAGTACTGTCCTCCCGTTGTTCATCGACTTGCTCGAGTGGACACCAGTAACGTCTCACTACAAATTGTGAGACTTGTCACTGTTACCATTTTGTAAAGATAAAATAGATGGATTATATGCATTTTTTACTTTTTTTTTATTTTTAAGTAAAACAGATTTTATTTGGAGGTTTTGAAGGGAAGAAGGGAGAAAGCAGGCTTCTCCAAGGGCAGAGAGAGCCCACACGTCCCAGCACTATAGCAATGTCCTGCCATTGTTCATCGATTTGCTCGAGCGGGCCCAGTAGTGTCACCATTGTGACACTTGTTGTTACTGTGTTTGGCATATCGGATACGTCACTGGTAGCTTGCCAGGCTTTGCCATGCCGGTGAGATAACTCTCAGTAGCTTGCCGGGCTCTCTGAGAGAGGCAGAGGAATCAAATCCGGGTCGGCCACGTGCAAGGCAACCGCCCTACCTTCTGTGCTATTGCTCCAGGGAAAGTTAGAATATTATTTGGAATATTTTGGGGGATTTTATATGCTTTTTGAATCAAAATCATACCGAGTATTGCTGGTAACTAATACAGCTCTGCTTAAGAGAATTGGTGTTGCTGGGTATGGTATCACATATAATGGCAGACAATGCAAAGCATGTGTGAGAGCATGCAGTTAGGCTCTCTCAGACCCTAATATTTTGGCAGTTATTTGTACAGGGAGTTGGGGAGAGTGGAGAGAACTTTGGAGGAAAAGGGAAAAGATAATAGAATTTATTTGAGTTCAGAGGACTTTAAATGATCTGTGGTTTTAAGTGATTCTTTTTTAATTTAGTTTGAAAGAAGCATCTTCAAGCCTTTTTATTTTTTATATTTTGATTTTATGGCTTCTCCCAGTGGTGCACAGGGATCACTCCTGGTTGGACTTGGGAAACCACATAGGTTGCCAGGGATTCAACTCAAGTAGGCCCTGTGCAAGGCAATCACCCTATTCTCTTGTACTCTCTGGTCCCATCTTCAAGCTTTTTTAAATATGATGTTGTTTTTTTTTTCAGGTTTATTATTTCCGACAAGGACATGAAGCATATGTTGAAATGGCCCGGAAAAATAAAATTTACAGTATCAATCCCAAAAAACAGCCATGGCATAAAATGGAACTACGGGTATTATGTTCATTGTCTAATAGTCCAGTTATGGTAGGGTTTGGAGAAAGTTATATTTACTGTTAATATTTCTTCTATAACTACTATACCATTTGCAATTTATTCAAATATCCAATTGTGTTTTACATCTGAAATTAAATTAATGTGCATGTCAGTTATACTCCAGTGGGAAGAAAACCTGTATCATGATGATAAATTGTTTTAATTAAAGCAGTTCTAAGGAATATAAGGTATCAATTTTTAAAGAAACAGCATATATAGTACAAAATTAAAGTTGGATACAAGTGTAATTCATAGTAAAAACTGGAGAAATACTATAAGATAAACTTTTTGTTGTTTTAGCTTGCATGTAATAACAATATTTTATATTTTAAATTAGAGTATGTCTAGATTTACTAGGAATAGTTCAAATACATTTATCTGTAACTGTTGGAAAAATTATAAAACTTTCCTTATTTTTCCCTTTTTCCTTCGCTTTTTGGGTCACACCTGGCAGTGCACAGGGGTTTCTCCTGGCTCTCCACTCGGGAATTACTCCTGGTGGTGCTCAGGGGACCATATGGGATGCTGGGAATCGAACCCGGGTCGGCCACATGCAAGGCAAACACCCTGCCCGCTGTGCTATTGCTCCACCCCCTTCCTTATTTTGTTTTTAATTTTTGTGGGGCTTTATTTTATTTGCGGGTTTTTGTTATTGTTATTTCTCTCTTTTTTTTCCCTTTGGTTTTGAGGCTGGAGTGATAGCACAGCAGTAGGGCGTTTGCCTTGCACGAGGCCGGCAGGTCCGACCCGCATTCGATTCTTCCGCCCCTCTCACAGAGCTTGGCAAGCTACTGAGAGTATCTCGCCCACACGGCAAAGCCTCGCAAGCTACCACCCATGACGTATTCGATATGCCAAACATAGTAACAAGTCTCACGATGGAGACGTTACTAGACCCACTTGAGCAAATCGATGAATAACGGGAGGACTGTGCTACAGTGGTTTTGAGGCCGCAATTTGTGGTGTGCCCTGGCGGGGCTCTTACATGGTACCAGGGATCAAAGCTGGGTCTGCCCAGTGCAAGGCAAAGCACCCTGTCTGCTGAATTGTCTGTGTTTCCCCTCTTTATTATTCTTTTTCATTTTATTGAGCTATGACTTATTTCCATATGCACAAAGCTTAAGTACAAAGCTCAGTGATTGTTCACATATATACTGTAATCACCTGCTTAAATCTATAACAATTATTTTCTTGGTTATGCATAGCATTTTATTGGTTTCTCATTTTATGTATCTTCCTCAGGAACAAGAATTGATGAAGATAGTTGGCATAAAATACGAAGTGGGATTGCCTACTCTCTGCTGCCTTAAACTTGCTTTTCTAGATCCTGATACTGGTAAACTGACAGGCGGATCATTTACCATGAAGTAAGGACTGTTGAGACAATGGTGTCTTATTATTGTAGATTGTTTTTCAAGATTCAGATAAATTTGAGCGTCTTTTAAATGGTTATAGGTATGTGGCCTAATCACTGTGTTTCTGTTTGTAAATAGATACCATGATATGCCTGATGTTATAGATTTCCTAGTCTTGAGACAACAATTTGACGACGCAAAATATAGGCGGTGGAATATAGGTGGGTAACTTACTTAGAAGCCAGAGATGTTTGTTAATTTTAAATACAAGTGACTTACTGTTGGTACCTTAGGAAACGATAACAGGGAAAGTATTTAGTCATTTTGGGAAAAGTTAATAGCAAAGTAAGATACTGTGTCAGGTGTTTTTCCAGAGTTGTTTTAAAGACTGAAAACACTTTTAATCTCATTCATACTGGAATTCCAACATATTTTTCTGCATTTGGTTACTGTTATAAGGAGTGTTTATTAATTATTTTCTCTAGCCTTCTGCGTGCTAAGTAAAAATTTTATCCCGAAGTGTTCATAATTCAAATTTGAAGCAGTCTTTTTTGTGAATATTTTCAATTTTTTAGTTTGTTCGTTTGTTTTTTGTTTATGATCCATACCCATTGGTGCTTAGAATTTACTCCCGTGTCTGCATTCGGGACTTACTCCTCACAGGCTCAGAGAACCATATAGGATACCAGGGATAGAACCTGAGTTGGCAGCATGCAAGGCAAGCCCCCTACCAACACTAGCATTCTGGCCCCACATTTTCAATAATTTGGACTGAGGATAATTTACTAGATTTTAATTCATTTTTTGTTAATTCAGTCAAGTCTCAAACTTTAAGATCTTGGTCAGTTTCTGGCATTCGACTGCATATGGATATATTAGAATACTGATTTTTCAAAGTTCAGAGGGTCAGTCTTTGTCATCTTGGAGTGGGATGTTGAGCATATGTCATCGGTTTGAGAACGCCCATCAATTGGTAGTGCTGATCTATTCTGCCTGCAGAGTCACTAGAAAGTATTAGAATAACATGATGATTTGTCTTCTCTTGGTTTTCCTTAGCTTAAACATGTACATGTTTGCTCTAAAAACACAAAATGAGGACAGGATGAGGGGAGGAATAGTACAGGAATAACGTGCTAGACTTGCATGCAACTGACCCTGGTTCCATTCCTGGCACCATATGTTCCCTAAGTACTGCCAGGAACGATCTCTCAGCATAGAAGGAAGAATGAGCAAACCCGGAGGGGATGGCCCAAGACTCCTTTCCGAAGAAAAGAAAAAAGACAAATGGGGAAATTTAGCAACATGAGTATTAATCACCAGAAGTATTCATCTGTCATAGGCTAAACAGAGTTCATTAAGAGCAGCATGTAGCATCTACTTGGGAGGTATGGAAAGCAACTAATCCTAAAGACTGCACTCTTTAGTGAAGTGCTCGTTGAACTGGTGAGAAATAGATAAAATGGGAGTTACATTATCTAGCATCTTTAACTTTTTGAGAAATTTTAATGGGGTATTTTATAGTTTGAGCTCTTAGAGACTGAGGGAAGATTTCTTTTTAAGTCTTAAATTACAAAGTCAGGAGAGCCTTAAAAAAGATTTCTTTTTCTTTAGAAAAGGAAAGACAAAATTAATAATAAAAAAATAGTGGTGAGTTCTGTAGGAAATAGTAGAAATACTTGTTAGAGTAGAAAATTTGATTATGGAGAAAGTAAAATGTATATATCTTTTATGTACAGCTGTTTGGAAAGAGCATCAATACTTAATTTTTAAAATTGAAGAAATAGCTATATACTCTTTAGAAATATAAGTAAATTCAAGAAGAAATGCTTAAAAGTGTTTCTCTTGGTTTGGCTTATAAGCCTTTGGTACATTTTTTTTAAGTTATTAGCACTATATCTGATAATATAAATTTTATTTTTTTAAGGATATACATCTGCCAATAAATTGCAGAACAGTTATTAGCAGTCAGAGTCCAGGAATTTTCCAGAATTGAACTGATAACAACCTAGGCCAACAAATATGACAAGCGTTGGACAAATCAAAGAGATATTTCAAAATGGATGTACAGAAATTTCTCATTTGGATTTTACAGTTTTTAATCTATAAGTTAATAGATTTATATTTTAACGTTAGTACTAGTTGCTCTTTTATTTCTCAAGATACATGTTATCTGCCTGCCCTACCTCCTTTTAAAAAAAGGAGTTATTACATTAGCAATAACTTAACCTGCTAAGTAATATTTAGGCTTACTCTGAATAGTGAAATCTTTTCTTAGCTTGATATCATTTTGTAGTATCATTCATTGTGGTTAGGCACAATTTGAATTCTTCTGAATAGCTCTACAAAACTCACTGAATTTATTCTCAGGTTGTTTCGGTCTCAAAAATTCTCTCTATTTATAACTTCTCAAGACTTGTGTCACTGGTAGCACATATGAGAAGCAGTTAAGAGATTTGAAATTTAACCCAAAAAAAAGAGATTTGAGATGTAGTAATGAATACCTTCTTGTCATGGCTGCTTGTATACTTGCACCTGACTTAAATTAATATTCCTTTTTTTTCTTTTTCCTTTTTGGGTAACACCCAGCGATGCACAGGGGTCACTCCTGGCTCTGCACTCAGGAATTTCCCCTGGCAGTGCTCAGGGGACCATATGGGATGCTGGGAATCGAACCCGGGTCGGCCACGTGCAAGGCAAACGCCCAACCCGCTGTGCTATTGCTTCAGCCCCAATATTTCTTAATAATGGCTGTTTGATACTTGTATATGAACTTGAGTTCAGATATTTACCCACTCCAAGTGTTGTCTCTGTGTGGCACTTACCTGCGTGTACAATTATTTTTATTGACTTCTGGTTCAAACTTCTTTAATAACTAAGTTTATTTTGTTTGATTTTTAACTTGCTCTATGCCTTTATACTTTTTAAAATTATTTTTTGTACAAATGAGGACATATGAATATTGTTCTCTTTACATTTTTTTGAAATAAAACAGTGAGCTCTGCTGTAAATTTTTGAACGATCAGTAACAAATTTGAAGAATTAGTAACAAATAACTTGCATAATCTCTGAAGCCTTCCTTACTCTACCCTAAATGAGCCAGGATAAAAATTATTAAGTAGAGTTAAAAACAGGAAGAAAAAGCATTACAGAAAGGAAGAAAGTAGTTCAATTTTCAAGACAGGGAGGCTAAAACAAATAACTTGTTCAGGATTTTTGGAGAAAGCAGTTTCATTAATAGATACTATCTAAATGCCTTTGGCTGTTTGATACTTGTGTCTGAACTTGAGTTCAGATATTTACCCACTCCAGGTGTTGTCCCTGTGTGGCACTTACCTCCATGTACAATTATTTTTATTGACTAAGAGTAAGAAGAATGAGCACACATGAAGTCCTGTTTTTACAAAGTTTAGGTGAGGTTTTTTTTTGTTTTTTTTTTTTTTGTTTTTTTGATAAGGAAAAGGAGTGTATATGAGTGTTATAGAATTGATGCAAAGGAAAACAGGTTAGAATATTTTTGTTATTTGTAGATGGAGTCTTGTTTGTTGGGGAGACTTTTGCAGAAAGTAAGAAATGAAAGAGACTAAATATTTGTTGAATATGAATTATCTATTTTCATTTGAGTGAAAAGTTTGAGCCTAGTCCTGATGATGTATTGTAAACGCTAGATTGCTTTATAAAACAGTTAAGGTAAGAGTGAATTTCTCTTTATCCTAATGTAAGTAATCGCCCTAAAATGGATAAATGACTTCAGATGTACTTACTAAATATCATCTCCCACAGTTTTTCTGGGTTTACTTAGTTTAGAGTGACTGTAGGTCACTCTTAATCTGTCTTCTGAAATCATATGTGCAGTTCCAAGAATTTAAGAGGTAGACATTGGATAAAGGGAATAACAGTTAGCAGCAGTGCATTTCAGAGTAATAAGGTGATTTTTGTTCTTGTACAGGCGACCGTTTCAGATCAGTCATAGATGATGCCTGGTGGTTTGGAACAATTGAAAGCCAGGAACCTCTTCAACCTGAGTATCCTGATAGTTTGTTTCAGTGCTATAATGTTTGGTGAGTAAATATTTGTTTTATTTTTACTTTAACCTTGACTGGCTTTGAGTCTTTTTCCCATCTATTACTAAAATGATAAAAAAATTTTTAAAGACACTGATTATTTTTGTAATACAATTTTTTAAAAAAAATTGTAGTGCAATATTTAGATTTTCTTAATATAAAGATTTTTCTTCCTTTAAGCTGGGACAATGGAGATACAGAAAAGATGAGTCCTTGGGATATGGAGCTTATACCTAATAATGGTAAGTGTGTATTGGATTTTGTGATTCATTTCTTAAAATCTGAATTGCTACTAGAGTAAATTTCCAGGAAACTCAAATGGAAAATAGTCATTCTGCAAATAATTGTTATTGCATACCTGCTATTAGTAGAGTGTGGCAGGACTGGCATAACCATAAACAGGAATAAATCTGTCCTTTCCCACTTCTAATTTTCTTTTTGGTGCTACCAGTGACCAAATAAGGATCATGTAAAATTCATAGTCTAATAGATTGAAATTATAGCAAAACGTGAATGTGTTTTACTAAAATTATTCACTCCTAGAAGATGAGCAGTCAGAAACCACAATATTTTGGTAGCTCCAACACAGTATTTTGAGCAGTATTATATAAGAATTTGTGCTTCTGCTTTGTGAGCTGGAGGAAAAGGCAGCTGGGATAGAGAAGGGATCACTAAGTCAATTATGTTTGGAAGAAATGCCAGGATGGGAGATGTGTGCTGAAAGTAGATAAAGGACCAAACATGATGGCCTTTCAGTGTCTGCTTGGAAACCATAATGCCCAAAAGTAGACTAAGAAGGAAATTGTCTGCCATAGAAGCAAGAGGATGGTTGGGATGAGGGGGAATACTGGGAACATTGGTGTTAGAAAATGAACAATGATGGAGCGATGGGTGTTATATCATTATATGACTGAAACTCAAACATGAAAGCCTTATAACTGTATTTCACAGTGATTCAATAGAATAAAAAATAATACAAAAAAAATGAATTTGTGCTTCTGTAGGGACTGGAATGATAGTACAGCAGGTAAAGCACTTATCTTGCATGGGGCTGATCCGGGTTCAATCAGCAGTTCCCCATATTGTCGTCCGAGCCTACCAGGAGTGATCCTGAGCTCTGCTGGGTGTAGCCCCAAGACAAAACTAAATGAAGAAAAAAATAATAATTTCGAGTACCGGTTGAGATAGATATATATCCTAAGTCTGTCATCATCTGCTAATGTCTTCTTGGCAGTTGACTTAAAATGTCAAAACCCCTGATTTTAAGACTACTCTTACAGTGCTGCTGTGTAAGCTAAATGATATTTTATGTGTAATGTGCTTATTTTTTTTTTTAGACACATAAAACTTCATTGGGGAGGGAGTTAAAATCAGTAATAATATTCCCTTGCATGTAATTTTGTCTTAGCATTTGTTAGTTAAGTATGGTTTAACTTATGCAGTGAAGTATGGCTGAAACCTGATGAATATTTTCTGATTGCCATTTTTGTTTCAGTTCCTAAAATAGCATTAACACAAGCTAGGGATTCAGTTCAAAGCCACATTCGTTTCAAAAGGTATGAAGCCGTGGCTTATATCCTGGCGTCACTTAACCCTTGAGTACTACTTGGGGTTCCTCAGAAGCCCATTCATACTCCCTACAACAGCAATCTAAGCACAAAATAAAATATAGAAATAGAATACATGCAACTGCAGGATAGTTATAAAGATTGTTTCCTGCATAATTCATAATTATGTATTTATGTATATTTTTTGGGTTTTGGGTCACACCTGGCAGTGCACAGGGATTACTCCTGGCCGTGCTCAGAGGACTGTAAGGGATGCTGGCAATCAAACCTGGGTTGGCCACATGCAAGGCAAATGTCCTGCCCACTGTGCTAAGGCTTCAGCCCCTCATAATTATTATAAAGGGTAGTAATGGGATGAGTACTTGTACAAATTATTTACATTTTTTTAAACAATATATAACCTTCTAAGATCTTTAAGAGGGCCAAAGAGATAGTAGAATGCAAGGCACTTGCCTTGGGCACAGCTGATCCCGATTCAGTTTTCAGCACCTCCAGGAGTAATTGCTCAGTGTAAGCATTGAACACAGCTGGGTATATCATACACAAAGAAAAATTAAAAATGAAAAGATCTGAAAGATAATCAGATATTTTATAGAACGCCTTTCACCTGTTTTATAGAATCTTTTTCTAGAAAATAGAAATTAACTTTCACCATGATCGAAATAATCGTTATAAAGAATAGAAAACTTGGAAAAAGTAAATCCAATATGGCAAATCTTAGGAGTGAAAATATAGTCATGCTTAGGTTTTATAAAACCAGCATTTTCTAGAAGTCATCACTGAAAATTTATCACTAATAAAATACATTTTTTATTAATGTTATTTTTGTCTCTGCTAAATTGGAGGTGTCTGAAACTCAGAGATGTTTTAACTTGTACTCTTGATTTATCTTTTATTTCTTTTGTATCATTTGACCTCATATTGCCCTGTTGTGTATGTGGCAGGTGACACACGAATGTACTATTTGTTTCTTATCCTGATATATATGGTGGTTTTTATATTTCTTGTTCTGCTTTTTTATTATGCACTCATTGAGTTTAATCACATTTAGGGAAGAGGAAAAATTACCTGACATCTTTGTAGATTGTCAGTTCCACCATGATTTTCTTGAATAGAGGTTTCAACATTGAACAAGCAGAAAGCATACCCTCATCAAGCTTAAGTTTCATCTATCAATTTTCTATTTCTATAATTTCGCTTTGCTTTGTTTTGAACTACAATAGTGCTTAGGGCATAAATCCTGAATCTGTGCTCAGCTATCACTACCGGTGGTACCTTCTGGGCCCTTTCTGCATTTTTTAAAAGTGAAAATGAGGGATCAGAGAGATAACTACAGGGGTTGAAGAGCTTGCCTTGCACTTGGCCAACCTCAGCACTATAAAGGGATTATATAATTATACAGAAAATATAAATTTGTATCATTTCATGGATATACTTTTTCTTTTACCATATTTGATAATGGGCTAGTGAGATGATTTTTTTAAAAGTATTTTGCATATTTATCCATAGAATTGTTTATAAAGTTATTTTTCAGTTAAGTTATAATGATCCCAGAAAACATGCTTTCTACTTGTGAAAATAAAAGGAATACTTGACAAATATTTACAAAGTTATCTTTTAATTCTGTGATAATAAAGTTCTGCTTTTTATTTTGAGAGTACTGGTCTCTCCAAGCAGTATTCCTGGATTCCTTCAATACTTAGCCTCTGTATGCCCAATATTTCAATGCTTTGCCTCACTGATGCGGTGCTACTTGGACCCTGTAGTACTGGGGGCCATGCAGTCAGTACCTTGAGGTGCTCAGGACCATGCAGTGGGGACAGGGATATTGGGGGGAGTTGAAGATGAATTCCAACTCTGCTTTTTAAAGGTAACCTAAATATTAATTTCCATCTATTTTAACTAAACGTGCTTTTTTTTTTCTGTGTATTTCAGCTGTATTTCCTGAGGAACTAGGTACCAGTGTTCCCTTAACTGATGTAGAATGTAGATCATTGATCTATAAGCCTCTTGATGGAGAATGGGGGTCCAGTCCTAGGGATGAAGAATGTGAAAGAATTGTCACAGGAATAAACCAATTGATGACATTAGGTAAATAATAATAGTAACATGGGTATAAGCAAAAGCTCTTAGAAAGCAGAGAAAAAATATTGTTGATCAATTAAAAAAATACATAAAACTATCCTATCACTAATTTTCGCACTTGCTTAATTTTTTAAATGTAGTTTAATCAGTTTAAAATACGCTAAGGTTTATAGTTCTGATGTACAAAGTCATTGCACTTCTACTACCACCAAAGTGACCAGTAACCTTGACCACTGTCCTTATGTCACTTCTAGTCCACTTCTTTCTTTTCCTCCCACCCCTCCAAGCACCCTAACCCCCTTGCCTGTCTCTATGGCAGGCACCTCTCATCCATCTCTCTCTCTCTCTCTCTCTCTCTCTCATTTTAGGCATTATGGTTTGCAATATAGACATTAAAAGTCTATCATGAGTATCCCTTTACCTACTTTGAACACTTAGTTCCTGTCCAGTGTTCATTTCCCACGGATGTCATAATGGATCCTTCTTTGTCTTAGCTACCTTCCACCCCCCACACCCTTCTGGTGCTTTCAGTCATTGTCTGATCCCATCTTGAGGTCTGTCACGTAGTTTGAATTAACCGTTCTGTATGGTGTGAGGAAAGGATCTCATTTTGTTTTCAGTATGGCTCTCCAGTTTTGCTAGCACTGTTGTAGAGGGCTTTGCTTGCTCCAATTCATGCACACAGTTCTTAGATTAACTGTCCATAGATATGAGGGCTTTATCCCTAGGCTCTTGAGTTCATTGGTCTGAATCTATCTTTATTTTAACACAACAGAATTTTGACTGTTAACTTTGTAGTATGATTTAAAATTAGGGTATGCAGTGACCCTCATCTCTTTTCTCCGAATTACTTTGGCTATTTGGGGGAGTTTTATAATTCCATACAAATTTTAGTAATATTTGTTCTGAATCCTTGAAGAATTTCACCAGAATTACTATGATGGGGATTGTGTTTGGTAGGGACAATTTAAATTTTTTTTTAAAATTTTTTGATTAAGGTAATTTATAATACTTTTTTGTAAACTCTTCTGCCAGTTTATTTTTTATTTATTTATTTATTTTGCCTCTTTGGGTCACACCCAGTGATGCGCAGGGGTCACTCCTGGCTCTGAACTCAGGAATTACTCCTGGCGGTGCTAATACTTTTAATGATGGTTTCACATGTATATAATTCCAACATCATACCAAGATGGGGATTTTAGAATAGATGTTTTTTTAATGATGTCTTTTTTTTTTAGTTGATTTTTTTCATTTTTTAAAATTGAATCACAGTATACACATTTACAAAGTTGTTTATGATTGGATTTCAGTCATATAGTGTTCCAGTACCCACTTCCTCGCTTGTGTACTTTTCCCACCACCAATGGTTCAAGTTTCCTTACCACCTCCCCTATTCCACAGCCTGCCATTATTCTCTCTCTCTCTCTCTCTCTCTTCCCCCCATCCCCGCCTCCACACACTCACACACTTGTAGCAAGCTTCCAACCATTGACCTGTCTTCCTGGCCTCTGTTTACTCTCATCTTGGGTATTTGTCTCAGTGTGTGTGTGTGTGTGTGTGTGTGTGTGTGTGTGTGTGTGTACAGTGCAGGAATGATAGCATAGAAGATAGGGTGTTTGCCTTGCACAACCGACCCGGGTTCAGTTCCTCCGTCCCTCTCAGAGAACCTGGCAAGCTGCCGAGAACCTAGAGTATCCTGCCCGCACAGCAGAGCCTGGCAAGCTCCCGTGGCATATTTGATATGCCAAAAACAGTAACAACAGTCTCACAGTGGAGACATTACTGGTGCCCACTCAAGCAAATCCATGAGATATAGGCGGACAGTGGTATATCTCTATCCCACAAATGAGTACAATCATTCTATACCTGTCCCTCTCCTTCTGATTCATTTCTCTCAACATGATACTCTCTTTGTCATTCCATTTATAAGCAGATTTCATGACTTCATTCTTCCTAACAGCTGTGTAGTATTCCATTGCGTAGACATATTATAGTTTCTTTATTCAGTCATCTGTACTTGAGCACTCAGGTTGTTTGCAGATTCTGGCTATTGGAATAGTGCTGCAGTGAACATCAAAGTGCAGATGACGATTCTGCCGTGTGTTTTTGGGCCCCTAGGGTACTGCTGGGTCAAATGGGATTTCTATTTCTAATTTTTTTGGGAATGTCCATATTGTTTTCCAAAATAGCTGGACAAGTCAGCATTCCCACCAACAATGAGTCCCTTTCTCCCTGAATCCACTCCAGCTCTTAAATAGGACTTAAATAAAGTAATTACACATGGGATTACAGTCACAGAATTTCAAAGTGAGGCCTCCCAGAAATATTAAGCCTGCCTCTGAAAAATATAAATCCTCCAAAACTTAATTTGAATAAGAATTTGAGGCAAACTGCATGACACTTTTATCTGAACTCTTTTGCAAAAATTTTCTTACGTTATTTTAAATGATTTTAGTAGTATTTTACAATACAAAGTTGCCTTCAACTGTTTGAGTGGGCAAACTAGGATCAGGGTTTTGCTGTACTAGTATGTGGATTCATTCCCAGATTTATTTTTTCCTTTTTGGTTGCCTTCTTCACGAGAAAGTCTTAAGTTTTGAGAACTCAGCAGTTTAACAAGTATAGTGAGTTATAGTGTTGTGATCAAATGCCAATCAAATTCATGACACAGATTTAGGAATAGCCAGGTTTTAATTGCATAAACATGCATATGTTCTTAATAGGTCAGGTTCATTTTTTACATTACCTGTTGACTCTTCTGAGGAACCTGAACATAGAATTTTGCATTATACAGTTTATACAAAATATACAATTTTGACATTGTAAATGTCAACTCTAAGCTAAGCTCTATGTATTTTGTGTGAAAGGACAGGTGCTTATTAGTAATGTGAATTAAAACTTAAGTCTTATTTCAAGCCTTAATTCAATTGTTTATGACTTTAAGCAGCAAAAAAGTTAATTTACATACGTGTTGATTTCTCTTAGATATCGCGTCAGCATTTGTCGCCCCTGTGGATCTGCAAGCCTACCCCATGTATTGCACTGTGGTAGCATATCCAACAGATTTAAGTACGATTAAACAAAGACTGGAAAACAGATTTTACAGGTTCGAATCATTTGATGTTGCAGTTACCGTAAGACAGTGAAATGCTCCTCTTACCCACCCTTTTACTGATCTTATACTTTAGTGTGCCTCCTAATCACTGGGATATTTTTAAATGCCGAAGCTGATACAGTAGATTTATAGTCGTCGTACCTGGGATTCGGTTTATCAAGTCCTCAGTGAAGCTGGTGTTGCTGACGGCACTTGGAAAGAATATCTGAAGATAGGCTTTTCTTTTAAAAATCATTAATGTGAATTGATATTCTTCCTCTAGTATTTTACAAAGCAAACCACAGTATTTCATTTTCTGTGTGTAGCATCTTAAGTGTGTGTGTGTTTATAGATTTTTTTTTCTAGAATATCACCACATTGTATTCTTTTTCTTATTTTGCTATGTTCTGCTTATGAGTACTTAAGAGCAATGATACTAGAGGAGCTCAGGATATTTTTTATTAGTTGTAGTTTAGTTTAAAATACAGCTTTTTTTTTAAAGCTCATTGTAATTACTTTGAATATATTTTTTAACACTTGATAACTGTTGAATGCTAATCTGGAACTGACTTTTTAAGTTCATATCAAGTGACTTGCAATATAATGAGTTATAGTTGTCACCTAATTCAGTATTTTTAACTTCCCTGTTTCTTACATGTCTTCCCTTTTTCTTATCAAGCCAAACCGCATTTTAATTTAAACATTAATGCATTAAAACAACACATTTTGCTTGAAGTTGGAAACTTCTTCGTTGAGAGGCGTTTTATTATACCTCTGTCTTGTGGGTGCTAGTATAGCCATTATCTAGTTTTGAAAACAAAGAAAAATACCTCGTCACCCATAGCTAAAATCAGAACATGTAACCCCAGATATTAAATATCTTAATATTTATAAGACTTATGAGACTTAATATCTCTGATCTTAAGTGTTTCTGCTGATGCTTCATTTGTCAAAAGCAAAAAGATAGGAAGAAATCACCTATTCCATGTATGCGCTATGCCATCTTGTTATCAGTGTGCTCCTCTTTATTTTTCAGCATAGCATGTTCTGATTCAAAGACATGGAGAAGAAATCTGTAACTATATTCATCTTTATCCCTAGACCCATAAGTTGTTCAGTCTTAGTTGATCATAGTGATTCAGAAAAAAATGACAAGACATGGCAAGATGAGAGGAAGCGAAGAGTTGCTCCTCTACACTCGTGTAGTATAGAAAGATAAACTTAGGGCATGTTCCACGATATTGTAAATATTCATTTATAGAAATACTGTTCAGCATAATTGCTGAAGTTGAACTATATTTCAAACTACTTACCAGATGCCAAAGGTGGGGTACTTGCCTTGCGTGTGGCCGGTGCAGATGCAATTCCCAATACCCCATATAGTCCCCTGAACTCCACTAGGAATGATCCCTGAGCACAGGCCCAAGAGTAAGACTCAAGAACCTCTGGGTATGGCCAAAAAAAGTTTTCATAAATTAATATAAAAATACAGCTTAAATAGGTTCTTCGGAATTGATATTGTTTGGTGAACAATTCAGAGAAATAGTGTTTTGAAACACTATAAATTAGAAACTGTTTCCAACCTGATAATACAGTTATAGGTCCGATTTGCATTCTTATTTAATACAATGGCATCTTATTGTGCTGTTTCACTGTTTACATCTTTATTTTTTGCTGACCTCTTTACCTGTTGGTTTCTAATTTAATGGCGGTGTATATGATTTTCCTCTCATAATTCTAGTACGGTTTCTTGTTAAATGCCCATTTGCCTTCCCAGCATTAATCATATGAAGAAGTTTTCTTCAAATTTTACTTCCAGAAATACAGTAATCAAATAAAAATGTATTGTCCAGTTCACTGTTAAATAATTTTATTTACTTGGTAATCTAGCCTGTTCATCATGTTTTTATATTTTCATAAATCGGCTCTCAATTAGCTTTTTATTTATACGTGCCATTTGAGGTCCAGTAATCTAATTAAGTTAAAAGTGCTCATTCTTTTTTATATTGATTTTTTTTGTTACTGTTTTCTTTTTATAAAATTTAGATATACTTAATTACAAATATTGACAACGTGCATAATAGGAATGTGTAGAACAGAAGCTAAAATTCCCATTTTTATTTTTCTTTTGCTCTTATTGGTCATGCTGTATTGGAAAGAGGCACTGTTAATTGTTGTAGTATGTTAATCCAAATGTTTTCTAAGTAAATGCATAATATTGTTGCCTAACAGAAGTGAGGCTATATATATATATAAATTTTTGGAAATGACTTTTTTTAAGGTGCGTGTACTTGAGCTGATTTAAGGCTAAATTGCAGAAGTTAAAATGTATTGGTATTAAGTTGTGTGCATATAGTTTTAAATATAATAAAGATTTGTATATTACTTTTTCAAAGGCGTGTTTCTTCCCTTATGTGGGAAGTTCGATACATAGAGCATAATACACGAACATTTAATGAGCCTGGAAGCCCTATTGTGAAGTCGGCCAAATTTGTGACTGATCTTCTTCTGCATTTTATAAAGTGAGTGATTTTTCCCTATTTAATTATAATTTTCCTACTTAATTATAACTAATGTAATTATGTCAATATCGTATAGTACATTTTAAAATATAAAATGCAGTCTTTGCATTTTTTTTCATTTAATATTACATGAACATTTTAAAACCTTTATCAATTGAAATAGGAAAGTGCCCTGTTACCTAAAGCAGTAACTGGTTAATACCAACTTTGAAATCATTAATGTCTTAACACCTACAGTTGTGGCTATGCCTGCAGTTGGCACTGTAGCACCATCCTCTCTCTGTTCATCGATTTGCTTGAGCAGGCACCAGTAACGTCTCCTTTGTGAGACTTGTTACTGTGTTTGGCTTATCAAATACGCCCCCGGGGAGCTTGCCGGGCTCTCCAAGGGGGACGGAGGAATCAAACCTGGGTGGGCCTCATGCAAGGCAAACGCCCTACCCGCTGTGCTATGGATCCAGCCCTCAGCTACAATTAACATGAAAAATAGTTTCTTATCTGAAACCAAGTTGTTGAACATGTAATTATTTATCTTAAATTCTCGTATGCCAAATAATAATCTTAAGATTATTAACAATTAGACATTATTTGGAAGTTACAAAAAAACAGTTTTTTGAAATAAAATTGTTTAAATTTTACGTTAATGTCTGCCTTCTGATATACTTTTTGTGTTAACATGTTGTCAGATTTCCAACTTCCTTATAATTATACTTCCTTTTTTCATTAAATGTATGCATACCAAGAATAATAACTTTTAATTTTATTATTTTTTTATTGATTCTCAGGGAATTAGTTTTTTATGACTGATTTTCTCCTTTTTAGGCATTCAGTGTTCCAACACCAGTCCCTCCACTAATGTCCCGTTTCTCTCCCACCCTCCTTCCTGCCTTTATGACTTGTCTTTTTTTTTTTTTTCCACCATTGTCTTAGTGTTCCCATCCTTGTTCAATCCCCTTTAAAAGCTTCCTGCTGAAGACCAGTTATCATTGGGGTATATTCCAACTATGGAATTGCTGGGTCATGTGGAAACTAAATTCCTTTTTTTTTTTTCCCTTTTTTTTTTTTTTGAGGAATGTATGTATTGTTTTCCAAAAGGGTGGACCAGTTGACATTCCCACCACCCACCAGCAGTAAATGAAGGTCCCTTTTTCTTTGTAACCGTGCCAACACTAATTATTATTCTTTTTCATGTGTACCAGTCTCTCTCATGCTAAGTGATGTTGTTGCTTGGTTCTGTATTTCTCTGATGGTTAGTGATGAGGAACATTTTTTTATTCCCTTCTGTCCATAACTTAATCTTCATTTTACTAAACTTTTAACCTCCACAAGTCCTGTATTTTCCTCACTTAAGGATTTTATGCAGCTATAGAATGAGCCTTTGCAAATTAAGCCAGAGGAATAGGTTATATCTTATAAAATGCTTGTCTGAGTTCTTTTTAAGATTACTGCTTTTGTTTAGTAATTTTTTCAAGTTAAGAAATAATAGTAAGCTTAAACATTTCACTGCTATCAACTTTCATTTTTACATGAAAGAATAAAAAATTTCCAGCTTCAGACTGGGTAGGCAGATGATAATATAGGAACAGTACCGCACTAGCCTTGTATGCACTTAGAATAGCTGCAATCCTTCTTCAAGTCCCCAGCACCACATACCGTTCCCTGAGCACTGCCAGGGGTCATTCCTCTACACAGAAACAGGCCCTGAGCACTGCTGGGTATGCTCCCCAAAACAAAACAAACGTCTTCAACTTGATTCTTTCTAGTCAGTATAGTCATATGCATATTTTCCTGATTCAGTTGGTGCGTAGTTTTTTTGTTGTTGTTGTTTGTTTGTTTGTTTTTTTCCTTTTTGGGTCACACCTGGCAATGCACAGGCGTTACTCCTGGCTTTTCACTCAGGAATTAGCCCTGGCGGTGCTGGGAATCGAACCTGGGTTGGTCGTGTGCAAAGCAAATGCCCTACCCACTGTGATACTGCTCCAGCCCCCTGGTGGGTGTTTTGTTTTTGCTTTTCCTAAAGATTGTACATAAATTCAATATTAAATAATGAATCAGTGAGATAGACTTCATGGCCTTTCTCTTCCTGGTTCTCTTAAGGAATTTGTCCCTTCCAAATGGTTTACCTCCGCACTTCTGTTTCTTTAGAGTAAAATTGATAATCAAAATTGAGTATTCATGTGAACAGGAATGTAACATGTTCAGTGGTAATTACAAGTACATGCTTCACAAGTTTGATTCCTGACACCGAAATTTTTATATATATAAACAAATACTCAAGCTTCTTCCTGTTTGAAAAAAACTTTTTTATACTCTAACTTTCCTAGGATAGGTATGAATTTTATTGTAGGGTTGCACCCTGGGTTGCTCAGGTCTTTTTTCTGACTCTTTTTGCTCAGAGATAATTGCTGGCAATACTTGGGATATCAGATGTGTTACAAGGATTCGAACTTGAGCCGGCCGTGTGAAACACATATTCCATACCGACTGTACTATTTCTGTGGCCCCAAGCATAAATTTTTAAGAAAACTTCAAGAATATTCCAAGTCCAGTTCTATTAGTTGGAAATGCTTGGAGGTATATATATCTATATACATGTATATAGATATATATCTCAGAGTAACTATATATGTGTATATATATGTTCATTTTCATTTCATTTCATCATCCTGTTATTCGTCGATTGCCTCGAGCAGGCCCCAGTAACGTCTCTTTCATCCTAGCCCTGAGATTATATTCAAGGCTATTTAGGGCTGGAGTGATAGCACAGCGGGTAGGGCGTTCGCCTTACAAGCGGCCAACATGGCCGCCCCGAGTTCGATTCCTCTGCCCCTCTCGGAGAGCCCGGCAAGCTACCGAGAGTATTGGATATGCCAGACACAGTAACAACAAAGTCTCCAATGGAGACGTTACTGGGCCCGCTCGAGCAAATCGACGATCAACGGGAGGGCCTTACCCTTACCCTTAGGGGAATGAGACCCCTCATTGTTACTGGTATTTGGCATATTTGGTATGCCACAGGGAGTTTGCATACATATATATGTATGTACGTAGTTTTGTAAAAGGATATAACAACAGAAACACTATATAGTAAATTCCTATTTTGAAATCATTTTTTACTTCTGAAATAGTCTGTGAAAATGGGTTTTTATGAACTCTATGGGCAGAGCAGTGTTATAGAGAGTAGGATGCTTGCCTTGCATACTTGTGGCCCCTGGTTGAATCCCAAGCGTTTCATAGGGTACTCCAAGCCCCACCAGGAGTGACCCCTGAGCACTGCTAGGTCTGGCCCAAAAATTAAAGGGAAGAAAATGTATTTCTTTTGCATAGGCATTTTTAAATGACTTATAGCCGCATTAATATAATTAAAGCGTTTATATTGTATACATATAAAAGTTAATTCCTAGCTTTGTTGGGGGTGTCCTCCCCAGCAGAGCTTGGGGCGACTCAGGGATACTTGGAGCATGGTTCTGATAGCCTGGTGCTTGAACCCCGTGATATGGTGCTACTCAGGCCAGACCAGCAGTGCTGGGAACCATAAGGCTACCTATTCACACATTGTAATTAAGCACTCCAGTCCTTTGAATTATATCTCCAGTAAACCGTTTTCCACATCGGACTTTCAAATTGTTTAGGGCCTGCGGATATATCAGGTACAGTGCTTGCCTTGCACACGACTGACTCAGCACCACATATGGTCAGCTCGGAGAAATCCCTTGAATACAGAGCCAGCAATAAGCCCTGAATGCCACCTGGCATTCCTCCAAAAGCAAATAAATTGAGTTATTTGAAATGCAAAATTTCAAGCAAGAGGTGTACACACAATAGGTACTTAGAAATATTTGCTTCATGATACAGTTGTATGCGGTAAATCTCTAACATGAGGAGAAAAAGAGTTGTTAGCAGTAGTTGAGTATTTTCATTTCAATTAAGCATTTTGTACTTAATTGGCACACAATATGATTAATTAGCTTTCTTCAGTCTTTTAAAAGTGTATTTCAAGGACAGCTACTCCCCAAAAAGACTGGGAAGTGAAAATAAAGTTGATGGTATAAAAGATGCAGGAGTGGAAGCTTGGGCAACTGTGCATATAGTAGAAGGGGTAGGGTATGATGCCTGTGTATCTTACCCTGCCCTTTCACTGGGTTTTGTAACGAGTCAAATCAAAAAAAACTTCAGCTTCAAGTTTTACTTAAATTCTGGATTTCTTTATTAACGAATTAAATGGAGAAAAGAATTGTCGTGGCTCTCATATTCTAACCTTTCTTGCTGTTTAGGGATCAGACAAGTTATAACATCATTCCACTCTACAATTCAATGAAGAAGAAAGTTTTATCTGACTCTGAGGTACTTGGTGCTTTATTATTATTATTATTATTATTATTATTATTATATTGGTCTTATTTTGCATATAAAAAGAAATGTATATATTGGAATTTTGAGACCGAAAGCATTATTAGTACTACTTTCTCCTAATGCTGTAGTTTGCTTTTTAAAAAATATGCAGAATATTTTTAATGTTTTTTTTTTCTAATGTGGGTTGCAGAGTTGTTTTGAGTCAGTTTTGTTCTCTTTCATGTACCTTAAAGAATTGTAAAAGTGTTTAAAAAACTATAGCAGAGAGTAAAATGTATTATATTTTATCAATCTGATAAATTCTTGCTTCAAAAGGAAGAAGAGAAAGATGCTGATGTTCCAGGAACTTCTACCAGAAAAAGAAAGGTAATAAGATTTTTGTTTTGTGCTTGATATGAATTAAAATACAGTAAGAACATTTTTCAATATTAATGTTTTTAACAATAGATTAGTTATGAGTCTATGTCTGTCATATCAGATATTACATGGTTTCTAGAACTCTGATGTCTTTTATTTGAATCACTATTTTCTGCCTGCATTAAACACATAGAATAGTTGTGTAGTATTATTTAATAAATATATTTAAATATCCTGACTTTAGGACCATCAGCCTAGAAGGAGATTACGTAATAGAGCACAGTCTTACGATATTCAGGCATGGAAAAAACAATGTCAAGAATTGTTAAATCTCATCTTTCAATGTGAGGATTCTGAACCTTTCCGCCAACCTGTAGATCTGCTTGAATATCCAGTGAGTATTTTTGAAAATACTTAATTTACCTCTCAGTTTTCTGTATTATACATGACTTTCTGCTTAGGTCTTTTATGTTGTGATTTTCTTTCTTATTTCCTTTGTTTCCATTTGTTTAATTACGAAGTGCAGCATTTCTTGTGGGTTGCCAGGATATTTCATGGAGGTGTAAATCACATACATAGTAGGACGTGGCAAGAGATTAGGGACTCACATGACGGAAACAAGGTCCGTAGGGGGCCATGATCACAGAAACATTGAGAAATATACTGTGCATGCAAGTAAGATAGTATGATAAATGAGAAAAAGCCCCAAACTAAGATTCCAAATAATTGGGTTATGGGCTCGACTCTTGTATCTTACCAGTTATGCATACGCCTTTAAATGAATCATGTGAAGTTTTAAAATTATTTTCTTCCCCACATCAATTTTATAATTTTATTTTGGTAAATCATTAAGAAATGATACTTAACTTTCCTGTAAGAAGGAATAAAGTCAAGATGGAACACCGTAAATTACTTCATTTTGTTTTGGGACTACAGCCAACAAGACTCAGGGCATCCTCCTGGCTCTGTTCTGGGATCACTCCTGACAGTTCTGGGGAGTGAGCCTGTGATGGTTGTAAGTCATGTGCCTTTTCTGCAGTAGTAGTTTCCATCCTCTACTATAATCTTAAGCTTAAAGTACTATAATCAAATATAAGGAGGCTTTATTTATTTAAACACTATGCCTTACAAAACTTGGTTTTTTGGTTTGTTCTTTGCTCCTGGTCTGGCAGCAGCCGACTTACAAAACTTTTATTTATTTTTTTTATATATCATCTTAGCCTTTATTAACTTTGTCAAATTCTCAAAGTGAAGATCATAGTTTAGGATCTTCTGAAGTCCAGTGAAGTTTCCGTTCATTTTAATCACGTAGTCTCTCCTTTTTTTTTATTAGTGAGACACCATGAGGTACAGTTCAAGACTTACAAACTTTCGTGTTTGGATTTCAGTTATACAATGATCAAGTACCCATCCCTCCACCAGTGCCCATTCTCTACCACCAATGAACCCAGTAGCCCTCCCACCCCACCCCACCTCTATGTCAGGGCATTCCCTTTTGCTCTCTCTTTCCTTTGTGGTTTGCAATAGAGGTATTGAGTGGCCATTGTGTTCGGTCTATAATCTACTTTGAGCATACATCTCGCATCCCGAGCTAGTCCTCCAAACACCCTTTACTTGGTGTTTTCTACTCTATCTGAACTGCCTTTTCCCCCAGTATGTGCTGTCAGCTTCCAAGCCGTGGAGCAGACCTCCTGCTACCTCAACTATTCTTGGGTGTTCATCTCCCATTCTATTACTTTACATTCTCCAGATGAGTGCAGTCTTTCTATGTCTATAACCCTCTTCCTGACTCATTTCGCTTAGCATGCTACTTTCCATGTAGTATCACTTGTATGTAAATTTTATGACTTCATCTTTTCTAACAGCTGCATAGTACTCCATTGTGTAGGTTTGCCAGCGTTTCTTTAACCAGTCGTCTGTTCTTGGGCCCTCGGGTTTTTTTCTAAATTTTGGCTATCATGAATAGTGCAGCAATGAACATAGAAGTGCAAGTGTCATTTTGACTGTACTTTTTTGCCTCACCGGGATATATTCCCAGGAGTGGTATTGCTGGGTCAAATGGGAGCTCAATTTCTAATTTTTGGAGAATCGTCCATACTGTTTTCCAAAACGGTTGAACCAGTCAGCATTCCTACCAGCAATGGAGGAGGTTCCTTTCTCGCTACATCCGTGCCAACACTGGTTGCTTTTGTTCTTTTGTATGTGGGCCAGTCTCTGGTGTGAGATGATATCTCATTGTTGTTTTGATCTGCATCTCCCTGATGATTAGTGATGTAGAGCATTTTCTCATGTGCCTTTTAGCTATTTGGATTTCTTCTTTGAGAAAATTTCAGTTCATTTCATCACCTCATTTTTTGATGGGGTTTGATGTTTTCTTCTTGTGGGGTTCAACCAGTGCTTTGTATATCCTTGATGTCAACCCCTTGTCGGATGGGTATTGGGTGAATATCCTTTCCCATTCTGTCGACTGTCTTTGTATTTTGGTCACTGTTTCTTTTGAGGTGCAGAAGCTTCTTAGTTTAATATAGTCCTATTTATTTAACTCTGTTTCCACTTGTTTAGTCAGTGGCGTGTCATCTTTGGAGATACCATTAGCCTCAATATCGTGGAGGGTTTTGCCGACCTTGTCTTTAGTGTACCTTATTGATTCTGGTCTGATGTTGAGGTCTTTAATCCATTTTGATCTGACTTTCGTGCCTGGTGTTAAGTTGAGGCCTAAGTCCATTATTTTTGCATGTGGTTGTCCAGTTATGCCACCATCATTTGTTAAAGAGCCTTTCCTTGCTCCACTTCACATTTCTTGCTCCCTTATCAAAGATTAGATGTTCATACATTTGGGGTTGTGTGTAGGGCTTTTAATAAAAATTTTGGGTATTCACTGTCCCAGCTCTAAATTCACCACCAGTGCCAGTGTCCTTCCACTTAGTGACCCAAGATTTCCTCCCTCTCCTCATTCTCTTAAGGAGACATTGTTGTATATGTCACCGTCTTTAGAGAATTCATAATGAAAGGTTTAGAAAATACCGAGGTATTTGTTTCTGCATATTGTCTTAATCTAGATTTTACTTAACGTTATTTTTTTACTCCCCAAGCTAAAGTATTTTGTAATGTGCTGATAACATTTATGGTTTCACGTGACTATAAATTAAGTATTATATAAAAGCCCAGGATCTGGTTAGGTATAGTAGATCTGGTTTTCACGTGCAGTTTAAGTTGTAATGATGAAAATTAAGAAACCTGGGGCCAGAGGGAAGTCAATGCTTACCTTGTATGCGGACTTCCCAGGTTGGATCCCTGGCATCCTGTATGATCCCTAAACTCCGCTAGGAATAAGCCACGAGCACAGAACCAGGAGTAAGCCCTGACCACCGCTGGCTATGACCTCACCTCCCTACCACCACCCTTCAAAAAAGAAAATTAAGAAACATGAAATCTTAATTCTGTTAATGTTATAAACTTGGCTAATTTGAAACCTACCTTCCAAAGTACTCTCATAAGAGTTTTAGCCTATGCTCATTTTTACTGCTGTGTTGAAAACATGTGAGGTTTTTGTTTCTCAACTCTGACCACATATTTAGAAAACTTAATTTATTAAATTCCATGTGTTCGTCTTGTGCACTTTCCCCCCAGAAGCACGTAGCACTGTCCTCCTATTGTTCATCGATTCACTCAAGCGGGCCCAGTAACGTCTCCATTGTGAGACTTTTTGTTACTGTGTCTGGCATATCGAATATGTCACGGGGAACTTGCCAGGCTTTGCCACGCGGGCGAGATACTCGATTCCCCGGCCCCTCTTGGAGAGCCCTGCAAGCTCCCAAGAGTATCTCAGATACCATGCCAGGATCAAATTCAGGGTCTCTTGCATGTTAGTGATGTGTTCTAGCCCTGAGAGCTTCATTTCCAGCCTCAGTGTTTGTATTCAATCACTATAATATGCTTCATGAGGCCATGTGAGCCAGGAGGAAGGAAATTAGAGACCAGGACTTGAATAATTTCATTGCCAATGAAAAGAACAGAAATATATTTTCCCCACAGAAAGGGTATCTCTGATCCTCTGGTGTAAGAGAAGAGAAATCTCTTAAGCTTTCCCTAGACCTTGATACAAGAATCCAAGTATGGGTTCCTAAGCAGGTAGGGTGCTTTTCCTTGCTCATGGCCTACCTGGGTTCAATCCAACATCCCGTATTATACCATTAGCCCACCAGGAATGATCCGTGCGTTCAGAGCCAGGAGTAATCTCTGATCGCCACAGGGTGTGACCCAAAAACTGGGGTGGGGAGGTGGGTAAAGGGAATCCTTCCTGAAGAGGAGTCATTGATGTAGAAAAATATCAAGCTGGGGGGGATGATCCATCACGTATCTTGACAAGAGAAATGATAAAATGGGAATATTAGCATTCTTCCCCTCAAAACATGAGGTAGTAGGCAATTCCAAGATAATAGATTGAAATGCAAAGCATCATTCATTGTGAGATGCCATGTGTACCATAAAAATGAAAAACAGGTGTTCACGAAACCTCCATTGATGATTTGGTTATAGAGAAAAAAGCTAAACGTATAAAGAAAAAAAATAACCTTATTTCTGTAGGAAATGGGATGATTATTTTTAATGTAAATAGAGTTTCTGAAATGAAATATAAAATCACTAAAATTGAACTCATTGAATCACCTAAATTCTCTGAAAGAAAGCTGTTGTAGCCAATGGAATAAAATAAGGAAATGAAATAAAAGGCACAGAAATTGTTAAGGAAAATTTTAATTGTCCCTGGCACTGGTGCAATAGCAGGTAGAGTGCTTGCCTTTCGTGTGGTCCAACCGGCTTTGATCCCTGCCATCATATTATGGTTCCCCACCCCCCCAACCCAGTCAGGAAGTGGTCCCTGAGTACAGAGCCCTGAACACCTCCAGGTATGACTCAAAAACCAATTTTTTAAATAAAATTAATCTCCCCTAATTGTAAAATGCAATGTTACCTGCTCTATACTCAAATATATTTAAGTATAATCTACATTTTCTAGTGTAAGGCCAAGCATATTTTTACAAATAGGACTCAGGAGATCTGGAAAAGGAAGTGTAGTATTTTTTGTCCCTCCCAAAAGCAACCATGTTTTGATACTGCTTTGGTATTCTGCAGTTGTCTTTTTTCACGGCTTTTTTTTTTTTTTTTTGGTTTCACCTTGAGGATATACAGTTAGAAGTTGTTTATGATTGGGTTTCAGTCATACAATGTTCCAGCACCCAAACCTTCACCAGTATCTATTTCCTACCACCAGTGTACCCAGTTTCCCTCCCCCAACCTCCTCTCCTCCTCCTGCCTCTGTGGCAGAGATGAAATACAGGTACCTCCTTGCAGCACTCATTTGTTGTCCGGAATGATCATTTCCAACTCAATGTCATAGTGGACCCTTCTATGTCCTAACTTCGTTCCTCCCCTCCCCTCCCCCCCCCCCCCCCCCCCCCCCACACACACACACACAAACACACACACTTTTGTCCAGTTCTCAATCATGGACCAGACCAGTCCTCCTGGCCCTTGTTTTGGCTGTCTTTGGGTATTAGTCTCATACTATCACTGTCACTGTCCTCCCGTTGTTCATCGATTTGCTCGAGCGGGCCCAGTAACATCGTGAGACTTGTTACTGTGTTTGGCATATCGAATACGTCACGGGGAGCTTGCCAGGCTCTGCCGTGCGGGCGAGATACTCTCGATAGCTTGCCGGGCTCTCTGAGAGGGGCGGAGGAATCGAACTCGGGTTGGCCATGTTGGCTGCGTGCAAGGCAAACGCCCTACTGCTGTGCTATCCTTCCAGCCCTGTTCCAGTGTCATACTATATCATTCCAGTTTCATACTATATTATTTTAATATTCCGAAGTTAATGTACTCATTCTTTGTCCCGATCACTCTGACATTTCACTCAGCAGAATACTCTCCATGTCCATCCATGTATAAACAGATTTCATAACTTCATTTTTTGTGTGTGTCAGTGGCTGCGTAGTATTCCCATTATGTAGATGTACCATGGTTGCTTTATCTGGTCATCTGTTCTCGGGCACTCAGGTTGTTTCCAGATTCTGGCTGTGTGAATAGAGCTGCACAGAACATATAAGTGCAGATGGTTTTTCTGCATTATGTTTTTGGGCCCCCTAAAGTGCTATTGCTGATGGAAACTCAATTTCCAGTTTTTTGAGAATGCCCATTTGGTTTTCCAAAAAGGATTCCCACCAGTAATGAATGAAAAATTCAGTGGAAGCCCTCAACAGTAGAGTAACAGCAGCTTTTTATTGCTTTTATAGTAGTGCATATTTTATATACACAGTTGAGTAGGAGACTTATGAATGATTGTTTTCTGGAAGTAAATTTAGAATTCATAGTTCTTGATTATTGTGAAAAATTCCCAGTAGAATTTCTAGAGTTGAGTCAGGATTCCACATACATGAGATATTAGCTTAATACCGTTGCTTTTTAATTTTAATCTCGTTTTAATATGAAAATTACTTCCATGAGTCCACAACCTTTAGAGTTTATATGTAGATTAGTGTTACAAATTTTATAGCAAATGTATATTTTGTAGTTCAAGACTTTTTTTTTACTACTTTGTTCCTTTTCCCAGCATAGCTTTGTGCTTTACCTGTTCCCCAAGTAACTTGTCCCAAGCAGAATTACATGTTGTTTAAATAAAACAGTCATGCTAATTGAAATAGAGAGCATAAAATAATAATTGCCGGAGCCAGAGAGATCATGGATTAGGGCACTTGGCTTGCATGCAGATCCTATATGGTCCTCCAAGCATGCCAGGAGAAATCCTGACTCTAGAGTCAGAAGTAACCCCTGAGCTTGGCAGGGTGTGCCTGCCTCTGCAGGAACAGACAGTTGCTAGGGGGAAAAGTGACCCTTCATGAAGGAAGCTAGGAACAATTCTTGTTTTACCATTTGAATTTATCACCAAAACTGTGAATCCATATATGAGCAAGTAATTCTTCGTGGTACTAATATTAACAATAACCACAACAACAATAATACCACTGTTTTCCTTCTCTTAGGACTACAGAGACATCATTGATACTCCAATGGATTTTGCTACTGTTAGAGAAACTTTAGAGGCTGGAAATTATGAGTCTCCGATGGAGTTATGTAAAGATGTCAGACTTATTTTCAGTAATTCCAAAGCATATACACCAAGCAAAAGATCTCGGGTATGTATACACAGACACACACACACACATAGTTAGAAAGAGTTAGTTTTCTTTAGTGTTAAAATTAAAAGTGAAGCTATAAGGAAAGTGGGGGCCAGAGAGATATTTCCATGAGCAGCCCACCAGGAGTGAATCCCTGAGCACCACCAGGTGTCACCCAGAACCAAAATATAAAAAATAAAAAGTATGTCAAGTAGCAAAATGATGTTTGTTTTACTTAAAATTTAGAAACAAAATAGTGTTGTATTATGTTCTGGATGGTGGTATTCTACTGGGAAAATAAAGAATGTCTTTTTACGTTGTTTCTTCAGTGATGTCACTTAGGTTACTTCTCTTGTTTAAATAAGACATACTTTGTGTTTTAGGACTAAAACTTTTCTAGCTACTTCCCATATTAAGGTAAAGGAACATGTTTGTGAATTATTTATAAAAATGAGTGCAGTTACAGATATTGTTCTTACTTTTTAGATAAGACATTGGAAAGAGCTCATATTGGGAGAAAGGATAGATTCTAGCTTTACCTCTGTAGTGGAAAATAATTTTAAACCTTACGAAATAGTATCAGTTAATAGAGTTCACTAGAATTTTGTTTATATGGGCTATCTGAATTCATAGCTGGGCTTTTCCTTCTGAATATCAAAACTTGAAAGATTTCCTAATATATTCTAATGAAAAAATGAAAAGATATTTGTTAAAAGATTAGGGGAAGCATTTTTTTTGCAGTCTGACAAATTTTTGCTAGAAAAATATTTAAATACTGTCAATATTTGCTAAGCATGCGGTTTCTTTTTGAAAAAATGTTTGAACGGTGTTTTATTCTTACCTTAGATATACAGCATGAGTTTGCGCTTATCTGCTTTCTTTGAAGAACACATTAGTTCAGTTTTATCAGACTATAAATCTGCTCTTCGTTTTCATAAAAGAAATACAATAACCAAAAGGAGGAAAAAAAGAAACAGAAGCAGTTCTATTTCTAGCAGTGCAACATCCAGGTATTTGATCTCTTTCTCATAGCATCGACTGATCTATAACTTTGTCAGCTAAATGATAGAACTTGGTGGTTTTTAATACTTCCTTTACTATTCCCTATATTGCAGAATGATATAATTGACATGCAAGTTCCTATGATGTGGAGGATTTTTAATCTTTTAACTAAAGCTTTACTAGTGTAAGTGCTTAAATTCAAACTGCTAAATCTCTACAGTAAAACAGCATTTCTAGGATAGTGATGGCATCATGCTTTCTATCATATAACTATAGCATTTATGGCGATCCTTCACTAAATGTTCACTTTTCAAAGGCTCACACCCATATGAAATCCACTACAAATCTCATATTTTAACATACTTCATAATAGCACCAATATTGAATCCAGTGGTATTAAAAAACATTCATACATGGCGATCTTTATGACTAATAATTTTATTTTATTTACAGCCCTGAAAGGAAAAAAAGAATATTAAAACCCCAAGTAAAGTCAGATACGTCTACCTCTCCATTCTCTGCACCTGCACGCTCAATACCACCGAGGCACAATGCCACTCAGATAAATGGCAAAACAGAATCCAGTTCTGTAGTTCGAACCAGAAGCAACCGAGTAGCTGTAGACCCAGTTGCCACTGAACAACCATCTACTTCTTCGGCCGCAAAGACTTTTATTTCTAAAACGAATACTTCTGCAGTGCCGGGAAAAACAAGTAAGCATCAGCAAGAATTTTTATTTACTTATCACGGGGCGGAGAGGTCTCTCTGAGCAGTGCTTAGGACGTCCAGGGGCAGCTTTCTGCAGTACTTAAGCCACTTGGCTGGATGGATCCCTGCTTGGGTACAGTGATGGAGTGCTGCTAAGGGGCGTGTGGCTACACCCAGCAATCTCACAAGCCAGGTGGATCTCTGGTGGGGTAGGGGAAAAGGCAGTGCAGTGCAGTGCCAGAGATCCAAGTCGAGGCATGTGATATGTCCAGCTGCTTAGTACCATTTTAGTTTGAGACATACATAGTAACTTTTTAGCTGAACTTTTATTTACAAAATGAAGTAGCTGAATATTGGTTACATTCCCACCCACAACTTCTTTTTGCTTTTTTTTTGTAAGTGTGTTACAAGGAAAGGGGGGCTAGAGCGGTTCATTGGTTCTGTGTGCATATGTGTTTCTCCTGTTTGAAAATGGATTTCCTTGATCTTGTGTTCAAGTGTGAGACCCTCCGTTCTGTTCCCACAACATATACGTGCAAACTATGTATTTCCTTAGATACTTCTAAGAACTCTGCATCTTTTTTCCCTTTGGCAAAGTCATAGTTTGGGTTAGAAAGAATTTCAGCCTTGCTTATTTTAGGATTAAATAAAGTTCAGCTTATAATGTCTCATGTTGTGTTTTAGTTCTAGAGAATTCTTTGAAACATTCCAAATCCTTGAATACTCTTCCAAGCCCTGGTCAATCCAATTTTAGTCATGGCACTAGGAATAATTCTGCCAAAGAAAATACAGAAAAGGAAAAGCCAGTTAAGCGTAAAATGAAGTCATCTGTACTCCCAAAGATGGCTAATCTTACAAAATCATCAGCTGTCATTGAGCAAGGTAAGGTGCTGCTTGTTTTTTACATAGTCCTGTAAGTCGTTGTTGAAAATGGTGGTTTTTGTTGAAGTGCGCTTTTATATTTGCTCTCCAGGGTGGCAGAGGTGGGGGAGCTGATAGGCCTTAGAGTTTGAGCCACACTCAGCGGTGCTGGGGAGCTACTTCTCTGCACACAGATCACTCCTGGTGGTGTGCTGCTCATGGGATCATAACAGTGTTGCGGACCAAACCAAGTTTACCCACTTACAGCGCAAGTGCCTTAATAGCTGTATATTGTCTCTCTGGCCCTGTGTCTATTACTGGGCTCGAGCGATAGCACAGCAGGTAGGGAGTTTGCCTTGCACGTGTCAGACCCGGGTTCGATTCCTCCATCCTTATCAGAGAGCCCGGCAAGCTACCGAGAATATCCCGTCCGCATGGCAAGGCCGGACAAGCTCCCCGTGACGTATTCAGTATGCCAAAAACAGTAACAACAAGTCTCACAGTGGAGATGTTACTGGTTCCCGCTCGAGCAAATCGATGAACAACGGGAGGCCAGTGCTACAGTGCTAAATCAAAATAAATTCAGAATTTAGAAGAAAGTCTGTGTGTGGCTTCCCCTTTCTCCTGCCACAGGAAGGGTCCAGGAGAGATTTTTGACCAATAAAGATAATTTATTGTAACTTTAATAATTTCTCTCTATTTAGAATTTGATTTTCAGCCTTTTAATGTTTTGTTTTGGTTTTTACTGTTTTATAAAAAATTAATGATCTTTATACTGGAGTCTGTTAAAACGGATTTTTTATTTGATAGTAGTAGCATACTTAATGAACTTAGGAACAAGTGCAGTTTTAGTGACGAGGTAAATGAAGAGCATCAAATCCATGGTATAAATAAATGATACAAAGTATTTCAGTGGATGTACATACTAACTTCTTACATGAAACAGTTTGAAGAGGATATCCTTTTATTTCTTAGGAGCACAGTACACTATAAACTTTTTGATATCAGAAAGATTATAATCAAAACCGAAATGGGATCTTATGAATCACTCCAGTCTTGATAATTCCTTTTCCCTCCACATTTGAGATAGGCTTGTTTATTCATATTTTCAAGTTACAAAGACATGATATTTATGTTAATGTTGATTATTTTCAGTAATTGAAATACTTGAAGGTAGGAATAGAGAAAAATTTTTATTTAATGAAGTAAATAATTAACGGGGGATCAAGTGAAGTAAATAATTGCTCTAAGCTGTTACAAGAAGGTGGTTTTTGGTCATGAAAATAATGCTGACGTTTTGAACGTATAGTAAAGATTTAAGTATGAAGCCTGATCTAATTCCTTGACTATAGGTTCATAATTTAAAGTCTTAGTTTAGAAAAGTTCTTTATTGATTAGGCTTTGTTTCCAATACATGAGGTCATAAAAAGTTTATTAAAAAGTCTGCTTTTTGAATTTTAAGTAGAATATAATTACTATTGTGTGTATATTATGTTTGTTTTCTCATTTTCACTATTTTTGGGGGGGGGGGGGTCACACCTGACAATGCACGGGGGTTACTCCTGGCTCTACACTCAGGAATTACTCCTGGCGGTGCTCAGGGGACCGTTTGGGATGCTGGAAATCGAATCCGGGTCAGCCATACGCAAGGCAAATGCCCTACCTGCTGTGCTGTCACTCCAGGCATTTTCACTTTTAAAATGTCATATAGAAATAAAACACGGTTGAATATTTTGAAAGTTGGGCTTTTAAGACTTAAATATTAAATGTATTGTTCTTTTTCTGCAGATTGTAAAAATAATGCTCTTGTACCAGGAAGCATTCAAGTAAATGGCCATGGAGGGCAGCCGTCTAAATTTGTGAAGAGAGGACCTGGGAGGAAGCCCAAGGTAGAAGCTAATACTAACAGTGGCGAAGTTATACAAAAAAAGAGGGGTAGAAAACCCAAAAAACTTCAGTATGTAAAGCCGGAAAACTTAGAACAAAATAATGTGCATCCCATCAGAGATGAAGTAGTTCCTTCTTCAACATGCAACTTTCTTTCTGAAAGTAACATCGTAAAGGAAGATTTGTTACAGAAGAAGAGTCGCGGCGGCAGAAAACCCAAAAGAAAGATGAAGACACAAAAACTAGATTCAGATCTTCTCGTTCCTACCAGTGTAAAAATGCTAAGGAGAAGTAACCGCAAAAAGACTGATGATCCTATGGATGAAGAAGAAGAATTTGAGGAACTGAAAGGCTCTGAGACCCACATGAGAACTAGAAACCAAGGTCGAAGGACAGCTTTCTATAACGAGGACGACTCTGAAGAGGAGCAGAGGCAGCTGTTGTTTGAAGACACTTCTTTGACTTTTGGAACTTCGAGTAGAGGACGAGTCCGAAAGTTGACTGAAAAAGCAAAAGCTAATTTAATTGGTTGGTAACTTGTACCAGAATATTTTGTTTCACGATCTTGAACGCAGGTACAGTTAAGGAATATGTAGAACTTAAGGCTTCTGCTTCCTTGCTGCTATGGTGGGTTAGGGAGTGTTACGGTTTGGTTTGCAGAAAAACAAACAAATACAAGACACTTCACTTCTTAAATGAATATATATATAAATATATACATATATATTTTAAATGTTTCCTATTTATTGCCCTTAGGTAGGTTATGCATTTCAACATTCATTTCGTTCACTGTTTGAAACAAAAGACATTGTGGACCTGTAATAAATTCCAAGTTTGTCTCTGGAAAGACAGTTCTGCTACACACACGAGGAGCCTAGGAATCCTAAGATATTAGAGCTTTCGTGTCCAAATGAATTATTTTTAGCCTAGTCAGATGCATTTCTATTAATGAAGAACTCATCCCCCTAGGAAGACAGAAGTTACCAGAGTAGCAGGAAATTTTAGAAATGTGTTTCCTCTGAAGGTAAATACAAGATTCCCATCGTTTGATACTCTAAAATAAACTTGTAATTGTAGAATGCTCATTCACCAAGACTCCAGAGGACGCTTTTGCTCTCTTCCATTTCTGCCAAACTTAGAGAAAGTGTGCTGATGAAAGGAAACATATCCACATTGGAAAACATTTGACTGTCTAATTTTTCAGACCTTGATTCTTATATCAATCACTCGATCTCTGTTTATTGTGCCAAAGACTGAGAATCAGTGCAGTGGAAAGCCCGTTCTTGACTGTCAGGACAGCATACACTTTTCAATTTTGGAAAGGAATATTATTCTAAAGAGCAAGTTACTGGAAAAGCTACACTGAGGTGTCTCTTTTCTTTTTTGGTACTAGTAGAAAATAATGCACTGGTGGGTCCTTTGACAGAGATGTGTTAGGGGAACTGTTTAAGTGGTTAAAGGATTCAAGGAAAATACAGGAAAAAAGGAATGGGATTTGATGTTTACTTACTGATCTGGAATAATGTCATTTCTAAACTTTAGACATGTCTAATAGGCGAGACAGACTTACAAAGAAATATGTCTGTGTGTGTATGTGTATATATTGATAAATGGGTATAAATAAATATATATACAAACACATACTTATATACTATTACCCAGGTATAAATTCTTTTTTCAGGATTTTTTAGATAGTAGTAGAATAAAAATAATTTTAAAATGTCATACTTTATAGTTTAATTTTAAGGGGAAGATTGGTTATTTTCAACTATTAAAGGTTAAAATAGGCCAAATCACTTTTTATGCAATCATGTTTTATACAGTGGTCTCATTGCACATTGTGTTTTTTCTGCACTTTTTACGGTATCCTTATCACGCTGGTATGTCAATATACACCCTAAAGAAAAATTCCATTTAATGATTGTGCCTTGTATTCTATTATTTTTTGCATCATTAGTAAAATTAAGTTGTCTATTGTAAATGATAACTATATGACTTAGGAGAATGTATTGCTATATGTACTGCTATGGAAAAGGAAAGCAGTTATTTATTTGTTTATGGTACAGTTAGTTATTTTATACCTTAAAATCTGACATAAATACCATTTCTATTGTTTAAAATTATTGTCCATTTTTTTAAATGAAGAATGTAGTATTTTCTGAGGACTGGTATGGTACAAAAAATGTAACCAAAATTTTCAAATACTACATTTTTAAAAACGTGAGGATGGGGAAAATATGTATCAGCATGACCCTGATGTAGAAAAAATAAAGTCTTAAATTGAACCTTGGCAAAATATACAATACAATTATTTCTTTACTTACTTCTGCTAGGGCCTATGTTAGCTGTGATTTAATTGTCTTGACAAATGGAAAGTGGTGCATTTGGACTTTTTAGATTGTTTATAACTAAATTTGTACAAAAATACTCCTGTGAAATTAAGTAAACCATTTTCCAGATTCTTCTTGGATTGCTGTGATTTTGCAGTTGGAAGATAATTTCAGATTTTTCAGGTTTTTTGTATATTTTTTCTAACAATTATAACTATACTTAAAATTCAGTAGATAAACTCTTCATCATGCAGAAATGGATAACTTGGTTGTACAGTAAAATGAGTTTTTCAGTTACACCATGTTGAAAATAAGTGTGTATGTTTGAAATTTAAGTCACTGATGTGTTGCTTTTGAAGGCAATCTATTTGAAACATGTAATTTCCTGATCTTATCTGCATCTTGTTAGAAAAAATATGACTAAAATTCATTTTTGTAAAATGTACGTGTATAGTTTTAAGGTGTGCGCAGAAAAAGGAAGAGCATACACAGTCTTAGGGTAGAATATATCCTCCAACAAAATGAGTATTTTACATCTTACCTTCAACTATTATTTTCTCATGTTGTGAAGACACTGTATATTTATGACATTTGGACTTTCTTAGACACTGGTTTCTTAGTAAAATAAAAGTTACTTGGGTCAGGTTCTTGGCAGTTGAAATACATAAAGTATACTAATTATTCAGATGCTTTTATATTTTTATAATTTAGCTTCTATGCATCGCAAAAATTTGAGAAATTGAAGCCACCACCATTCTGTTTTGTTTCATTATCTGGAAAAATAGCCTGTTTGAGACAGTGATACCATGTTTTTACTTGTTTAAGAGCCAAAGGAAATGTTGGCAGTTCTTTTAGGTGAGCAATAAAAAAAAAACAAAAAACTCATCCGAGAAATATATCTTACTACAAGCACGGAAAATAGAAATCAATTTACATATTTTCATGTACTTAACTTGAATAATCTCTCCTTCTACTCCAGCATTGGATCCCAATTCAAATTATATACACACGCAGTTTAGACATTGATCTTCATTTATTCTCACACCTCTGGGCAACAGATAATATACCTTCTGAAAATACTGCCCTTAGCCATCTCTTACAACATTTAACTACTTTCTGCATATATTCATAAACTAGATCTTGTTTCCATTGTTTTTATTCCTGCATAGCTTCATCACAATCTTGACGATATTTGATGACATTACAACAGTATTTTCTTTGAATTTTTAATGGAACACTTTGAAACTTCATTAGGTCACATCTGAAACATGGGTTTTTACTGAATCTAATGCCACTGGGAAATGAACTTCAAAGCATCCTCAAGCGGCATCTGTATCAACACCTCAAGCACTCTGGCCAGCAGTGATTTACTACATGAACACTTGTAGCTTTTGAGGTGTGGCCTCATTTATATGACATTATATAAATTTCTCAAAGTAGTTTAATTCTAGCATTCCATTTATACATACCTGTAGATCTCAAATGCTAACTGGAAACAATTTTGAGTTTCAGTTTTTTTTATCTAATAAAAGCAAATTGTTACTCTAAGTGGTTTTGTTCACCTGAAATTTATTTTTGAGTTGGTTGAAAGGACCAAAAGACGATGTTTGTTTCAAGGGCTCTAAATATTCTCCTTATATGCAGGAATTAAGTGATTTTAAGAGTCATAATGGGGGAAGTACTTTTATGGGCTGTAAATTGTTCCCATACAGACAAAGTATTTTTTACATAATGGGTTGTGAAGTGGCTTAGTTACATATAGGTGAGAATTTAGTTTCCTACTAAAATTGGAAGAATAAACTTAATATTCACTCTTTTCTCCTTGCACTTGCCCTCCGTTTCTCAAACTCCCAAGTGATTTGAATTCAGTTCAGATTTACTAAGAAATTATTTTTGTTTTGGTTACACTAAGCACTCCAAATGGAAAGTTATTTTGTACTATGTACAATAGGAAGAAGTCAGAAGACTGTAGGTACCGCCTTGGACGCTCTGGAGTTATACCTTGTACACACTGCAGTGAACCAATTGGTAAATTTTGTGAGCTATAAATATTTTTAGTTTTGATAGCTCTGAAATTTTTTTGTATGCAGATAAAATCATCAGGAAATTAACCTTAAATGGCACAAACCAAATACATGCAAGTGGTAGCTGAGTTTTACATTTAAGGATCTAAGAGCATAGATTTGAGATGATAATACAGGACACACGTATATGATGCATATGCAAACATCTGATTTAAGATTGTGCAAGTTGATTAGTCACAATGTCAAAGCATAACTTGCCACGAAGTACAGTTACATTTTGGACCATATTAAAACTACAAGAAGACAGGGTCTTACTAAAGATCTTCTAGAAAATTTTTAAATCCTGTCACACTAGACATGTAGAATGTAGCTCAATTTTTTTTTTTTAAGTAACTGACCTAGAGGGTGAAAGTTGAAACTGACATTTTCAAATTAAAATTATGCTTATTTTGTACAGAAAACTGTTAAGCAAATTTGTTGTATGTAATAAATAACAGAGTTTTAAAACAAATTATTTAGCTTTATTGAAGTTTTGTTCCTTTCTTTCTTGAAACTTGGAGTATCATGTTATAAATGGCAGTCTCACATCCGAATAGCAGTGCCCTTTCTTTTTTGTACATAATGATTGGACCTTTCATTACTGTTATGTGGACACTTTCTATGTTAGTTTTGATGCATAATTCTTTGAATCCTTTTATACGAACTAGAATGTATGTGTAAGAATTCCTGTCCCTGCAATGTAGTAACTACAAACTTATTTTTAAATAAATAGAAAACTTGTTTTTCTAAGCTATTTTGTAGAGGCTCTTGATTTCTTGGTTTTTGAATTTTTTTTTTTTTTGGTTACAGTATTTAGCACATATTTCAACACAGCCTGTATTACATGAGTGTTAGTGTGCTAGAATTTCCAGCACTGTTTTCTGTAATGTAAAATTAGCCAATTAAAGGATCCTGGATATCCTACTGTAACTTAATTTTCTAAGTAAGAGTTTTTAAAATTACTTCTTAATATCTGTTCTTCTAAACAAGTTTGTTGATTGTTGCTCTGTGTAAATCAACTCTACTAGTGATACATACTTTGATATTCAAATGATTATGTAAGGTATGTTTCAAAGGAGCACTTTGCACAGATACTTTTTCAAAAATGGGAAATAAAGTTTCTGAGGGGAAATTTTAATGGAATGATGAAAATGCAATTGTTAGGCAGTTATACAAATACTGATTTATTAAGTTATTGCTGCTTTTATTAAAATTCATTTCATTTGACACGTTTTATGAACCCTGAGACTTGGAGTCTTAAAATTAGAACAAGAAACTTTTTAGTAACTGCAATGACAGTTCAAGTTAAGCATCTGAATTTGTGCTCTTGGTCATTTCTCAATATTTTTGTATAATTGACTACACAAAACAAATTTCGAGTCCAGAGAGCAAGTAAACATTCCTGGGCACACTTCTAAAGTTTCTTAATACTATCTAGGTGCAAAGAAATTTATTCTTGGCAACCACTTCCACTGACTTTTCTCTTTTAATTACATCAACTTCCATGTTGTAGCCTTAGTTTTCTCATTAATGACAGAATTAAAAACCAAAGCACAAAACATTCATTGTAATATAGTAATTTATAATCTCTTGCGCTTAACATTTATTATGTTGGTTATTTTTATGAATAATGGAAAGAAATACCTTTTAATTAGCTAAGTACTGTTAGCAGCATAGTGTAATGGAATGAGCTAGACCTGGAGTTATTTCATCACTTTGAAGTTTATTTTCCTCATCTGTAAAGTTAAAAATGACAAATCTGCAAGTAAGTGCACTTTTTTCCTCTGTACTCCTCACTCAGTCTTGAATTTTTTAGTACCTAAAGTGCACTATTTAATAAGCAAGTTGCGTCTTGCGCCTACGGCCCAGTTGTAATAGTGGGAAATCTCATTCCTTAGAAGAAAGGAATTTTTCACTGCATTTTGGCAATACTGTTATTCAGAGTTAAATTGAAATCTGTTTACTACTGAAAAAAAATACTAGTAGTTTATTTCTAGAAGACATGAATAATTCCGCTTCAGTGTTAAAAAGCATGCTGAAAAGTTTTAGTTCAGTCTTGGGAAAATAAAAGCTTTAAGGAGATTTGTAATCATTGGTTCAGCTAAGATTATGGGTGCCTGAGATGAAAATTGGTTTCCCATTTGCCAAAAATGAAATATTTACAATTAAGTGTAGAATCTAACCGTTTTAAAGGGAACATCTTTCACAAGTGGGATCTTATATATTTTTTAAATTTAAGGTCATGGACATTTAAAGTAAATCATGTCTTGATGAGAAGGAAAATCTGAGAGGATTACACGGAAAATAAAGAGCAGCTCGGTCTTTCCAGCAATAACCTCCCTCCACTTTCCTCTGCCATACCTTTTTAGAAACCAAATTCTACTTCTTTTCTAACTGCAGTGATCACCGCACTGGCTCTTCTACTTCTTTTCTAACTGCAGTGATCACTGCACTGGCTCTTCTCACATACTTTTTTTTTTTTTGTCTTAGCTATCTGTACAAGACACCTGTTCTAATGTATTAATTCATACTGATAGTATTTTGGTTAATATGTACTAATTGGGCTGGAGTGATCGCAAAGCGGGTAGGGCATTTGCCTTGCACGCGGTCGACCCGGTTTCGATTCCTCCGTCCCTCTCGGAGAACCCGGCAAACTACTGAGAAAAAGCTGCTTTCCCGCACGGCAAAGCCTGGCAAGCTGCCCCGACATTCAGTATGCCCAGAACAGTAATAAGTCTCACAATGGAAATGTTACTGGTGCCCTCTCGAGCAAATTAATGAACAACGGGAGGACAGTGTTACATTGCTACTTATACTAATTAAATTCTGCCAAGCAACAGAATAATCTCTCTCTCTCTCTCTCTCTCTCTCTCTCTCTCTCTCTCTCTCTCTCTCTCTCTCTCTCTCTCTCTCTCTCTCTCTCTCTCTCTCTTTCTCTCCTCTCTGTCATACTGACATTCCTGATGGGTTCATGTGTCTTGAGGGGTTAAACTCTGGCCTCGTGAAAGGCACTTCAGTCCATTGAGCCATACCTCTAATTCATTTCTCCTAGTAATTTATTTAAACTGCATACTAACTTTAGAAATTAGGTGTGATTACTATTTCCATCATTCATTAAAGCAGTTTCTCAAGCAGGGACCATAAGCCCCCAACCATTTCCATGGGCCCCTAAGATACTCAAGAGCAGACACTGATGAAAGCTGAATAAATAGGGCAGCGGCACAAGACGAGGTCTTGTGATAAAATGATAAAATGGGGGCAACAGGAAGGAAATCAGGTGGGAACGCGTCCATAGTTGGAAATCAAAACAGACTTAGGTCCCAACTGAGGGACTGGATTAGTGAATGAGTTCTCTATGTTATTGACAGTGTTGGCCCTAAAACCAAATCTTTCTGTGCTGATTTTTATAAATTACCTAGATATAAACCACCAAGAAGTTCTTTTTTCACTGCTGTGATGATTGAGGTGAGTATGGATGGTCACCACAGCCTGCTGATGCTCAGGGACTACTACTGTCATTTTTGGAGGGAATCGTGTGGTGCCAAGGGTTGAATTGGGTTAGCCACACGTTAATAAGCAAGTGCCTTAACCCTGTGTACTATCTCTCCAGTACCAATAACTTTTTTTTAAATCTAGATAGTATGTAATAAATTTCATTAATATGACAGATCATGTTTTTTTTTTTTTTTTCGCTTAAGGAGCTATATAGCACAGCGGGTAGCGTGTTTGCCTTGCACATGACAGGCCCGGGTTTGATTCCTCCTTCCTTCTCAGAGAGCCTGGCAAGCTACCGAGAGTATCGCGCCCGCACAGCAGAACCTGGCAAGCTCCCCGTGACGTATTCGATATACCAAAAACAGTAACAAGTCTCACAATGGAGACGTTACTGGTGTTACTGGTGCTCGCTCGAGCAAATCGATGAACAATGGAAGGACAGTTAGCTACAGTGCTACAATTCCAATAATGCATTTTCTATACATGTGTTCTGGTTCCTCTAGTCAACCTGGAAATTAACAAGGATTTTAATAAAGCGATGTCTTTTTAAAAAAAAAAATCTCTGGGACTGGAGCGATAGCACAGTGGGTAGGGCGTTTGCCTTGCATGCGGTCAACCCAGGTTCAATTCCCAGCATCCCATATGGTCCCCTGAGCACCGCCAGGAGTAATTCCTGAGTGTAGAGCCAGGAGTAACCCTTGAGCATCCCTGGGTATGATCCAAAAAGAAAAAAAATAAATAAATTTGGAATGGGTGAGGCCGAGGATCAGAAAAGACTGGAAAATCCATCAGAGCAATCCCAAATGAAGTGATACTCAGTCCTGAGTGAAGGAAGGAGGGAAGCAAGACTGAATAACGAAGTAGAGGTGTGGCTCAGTGATAAAGTTTGTTTGAGGATCCTTGACACAAGAGCAGGAGAGGAAAGGAACTGAGCTAGGAAAGAGGAAGGAAAAGGGGGAGGGAGAGGAGGAGGGAATTGAAAGGAGGAGAGGAAGTGAGAGAGGAAGAAATCCTTGTCTTGATCCTTGGTTCAAGAATTCTATGTGCATGGAATTTTTGCGAGGCATGTTTTTTTTTTTCAAGTTTTGGGCTTTAACTTCTGATTAAAAATTGTTACCTTGTTAGAAATGCTGATTCACAGTCCTAGTCTTAAAGTTGAGCATAATTATGCAACAAAGTATAGGAGATTCACAGAATGGCCAAGGAGATCACATTTTAAGCATGATGACATCTGCCAACAATTCCTAAATTGTAGAAGTATAACATTAATGTGAATGGGCACCCCCAAACCCAATTCAGCTCATTAAACTGTCACAGTAATTTAATAAGGCAGTTGTTTCCTCATCACATATAGACAATGGAAGGTTTATTGGAAATCTGTGAGCAATTCTGTGTATTATGTATTTCACCAAGAGCTTTGAAATTGTTTTATTGCTTTGAAATAGTATCTTTAACTTGAATGAGAAAGGTAGGGACTGAAAAAAAAAAGGAATTTAGATGGAGTACCTCCACCGAACATAAAACACAAATGTCAGTTTCCAGCTGACCACCTAAGAAACTATATTTTTTCCTCTCATACAGTTTTCTCCTCCTGTCTACCAGTCATCCTGGTGTGCAAAAGCAAGACAATTTATTTTGAAAATAAATTGATTTGCAACTTTAAAAGTTACAATGTGGATTAGACTTCATAATTTTTGTCATTTGAAAGATAATTCAAAGAGACACCTTTTCCCTTGCATCTTAATTTTCAGTGTTCTTGAGTTTGGGTTTCCGATGTTGTATTTTCCAATGTTCAACACGTTGTTGGAATTTTTAAGAAGTTAATAAAATCATTTAATACCTCATTGAAACAAGCTTCTTTAAATTGAGAGAAATGGTCAAAATGATGTATTTAATGAAAGTTTATTTTCGAACACTTCATGGGACTCAGCCATTTTGGCTTAAGACAGTATTGTGGGGACCAGAGAACTATTTCAGCAGGCAGGAGAGTGCATGCTTTCTATATGCTGGGACCTAAGTTTGCACCACATAGCCTCCAGAGCTTCAGGTACATGGAGATGCTCAAGCATTGACATTGAGGCCCTGGTGGTCCCTGGTACCACAGGGCCCAAGCAACCCCACATTCTTGTGGCCCAATATTGAGCAACCAGCTCAGATGACCAAATATAGATTATTGACTCTATATGACTCTCGAGAGGGTTCCCCTGATGTAAATAGGATATTTCAATGATGCAGATTCTAAATTCTGTCATCCT